ACACACACCCATAATCAAGCAGCCAACACTGTAAAGTTGTTAAAATATATCTGTGTTTGATAAGATCTCGTATATTTTTAAAGATGAATTGTTGAAATTTTAAAAGATGAATTATTGTAATTTAAATTACATTTCCTCATTCACGCATTTAATTAATTTGGGTTTTTTGAATGTTTGGTTACTAGTACACATCGGAAATACAATGGGGTTGGTACACAATCTTAAATAAACTTTACTGAAGTAAAAAAAATAAAACATTACGATATGCAAAAGAAAACTTTTAAAAAAATCTCAGAAATAAGTTGAAAATCGTATTTTATGTGTTATTCTTAGCACGATTTTTGTGGAAAGATGTTGCAATGATTTTCAATTTTGTTATGCTGTATGGATGATAACAAGATTCAAACTATTCTACTATTTTATTATAACCATTTAATACGTGTTGTTAAGACCAGGGCTCAAGTGAGAATGACCAGGTATCAGAGAGGCATGATCATATATATAACATAGCATTAATGAATATCAAGTAAAGGGAAGTAATCCCATTAACTGTACAACTAATCATGTAAAGAGTTATCTGATCTCGATATCATAACATCTCCCTTTGTTTGAAATCTGAGAAGCTCGCTATCAATGTCAATTTATTCTGAGAAAGCATCAAGCAATTAATATAATGTCCATGTCAAGACTGACATCAATTAACGAATTTGAGATAAACGCATTTAATTATTATGATAAATGCTTTCATATTGTCAATATAATCTTTGTAATTTTTCTGTTTATAGCACAATAAACACTACTGCAATTTATGGCTATTTGTTCAATGTTTATATATACATTTATTTTACACAGACTGAGTTATCTTTGGTTTAACCTGCCTCCCAGAACGTGTTACATGGGCATGCTGTAACATCCTTTCTGAGGCAGATTTCAAATCCCTCAAGGTCAATACCCCCTTAAAGAAGCCAACTGTCAAACTCACTGCTTACTCAGGCACTGACATTAAGGTTATATGAGTAGTAAATCTCTCATACAGCTACAAGAAGAAATGCACAAAACTTGTAGAATTTTATGTCGTGAGAACAAACAAACCCTCAATCCTAGGTTTACAATCATGCCTTGACTTCAATTTAATTCAAATTGTAATGTCCGTAGACCAGAATGAGCAAATGAGTAAAAAAAATTATCAAATCATAATAATTAAATGCGTTTATCTCAAATTCGTTAATTGATGTCAAATTCGTTAATTGATGTCAAAAATGGCTTTGGAAAATTACCTGATGCTTGTCCGATCAAAGTAGATCCCAAGTACTCTCCAGTAATTGATCCTCCCCGACGCGTTCCTGTGGCTCTTCAGGGCAAGGTTAAAAAGGAACTTGATGCTATGGAAAAGGCTGGAATCATAGCCAAGGTCACCACACCAACAAATTGGGTGAATAGAATGGTCGTAGTCAATAAGCCACATTCTGATAAAGTAAGAATTGTAATTGACCCTAAAGACCTTAATAAGGCAATCCATAGGTCACATTATCCTACAAAAACCTTAGATGATATTTTGCCGCAGTTAAAATCTACAAAATATTTCACAAAACTTGACTGCAAATCAGGTTACTGGTCCGTTGTTTTAGATGATGAATCATCATATCTAACCACATTCAACACCCCGCAAGGTCGTTATAGGTATCTAAGATGTCCCATGGGACTGAAATGCAGCCAAGATCTTTTCCAGCAAAAGATGGATGAGTGCTTAGAAGGCTTACTTGGTTGTTGTGTCATTGTAGATGACATTCTTGTTTATGGTTCAACTCGAGAAGAGCATGACATAAACCTAAGAAACTTACTTGATAGGTGCCGCCAAAAGGGCATTAGGTTAAACGAAGACAAACTTGTTGTTTGTGTCTCGGAGGTAAAGTATTTTGGTCACATCCTCTCAGCTACCCCGAAAAATGTAGGGCTATCCAAGAGATGGAAGCGCCTAAAGGCAAGTCTGAGCTTAAGACAATACTTGGCATGATAACTTATCTATCTAGATATGCCCCAAACTTGTCCGAGATCATTCATCCACTCTCAGAAATATTAAAGAAAGATGTCATTTTTCGCTGGGATGCTCCTCAAGTTCGAGCATTTCAGAAAGTCAAAGACATACTTACTGAGTGTCCAGGCCCAGTGTTATCCTATTTTGATCCAAATAAGGCACTAGTACTTCAGTCTGACAGTTCTCAGCATGGCTGTGCTTCTACTTTAATGCAAGATGGAAAACCTATAGCCTTTGCAAGCAAATCCTTGACCAACTCAGAAAGATAATGGGCCATGATTGAGAAGGAACTTCTTGCCATAGTATTTGGCATGACAAAGTTCAGACAATATATCTACGGTAGGTACATAACTGTAGAAACAGATCACTTACCACTGATCAGTGTTCTCAAGAAATCACTACACTGTGCTCAAGCAAGTTTACAAAGGCTCTTCTTGCGTTACATGGTTATGATTTTGAGTTGCAACACATAGCAGGCATTCTAATACCCATGACTTGCACATTGTCTCGGAAATTTTTGCCAGATACTTATACAGAAATTTCCGAATATTCTAATATGCATGCTCACTTCATAACAAAAAACTTGTCATACACGGATCAAAAACTTATAAATATTACTTATGAAATAAAGTCAAATACTATATCAGATCCAACACTCACGGCCTTTAAACAAATCATTCTTCAAGGCTGGCATGAAAAACGCAAAGATTGCAATTCTCAAGTTCTAGAATACTGGAATTATAGAGATGAACTCACTGTTGTAGATAATATCATCTACAAAGGTCAAAGATTGATTATTCCTAAGTGTCTAAGATCTGAAATGTTAAATTTGCTACATAAAGGTCACCCAGGTCAGGAACGTAGCTTCCGCAGGGCACACAATTCTATGTTTTGGCCTAACATTAGCAAAGACATAGTGCAGTAAGTGCAACAGTGTTCTGTATGTGCAGAGCATCAAAGGTCAAATTCAAAGGAACCCTTGGTTTCACATGAAATCCCTAAGTACCCATGGCAGGTAATAGGTACTGATGTATTTACATTAGATAACCAAGACTACTTGTTAGTATGCGACTACATGAGCAACTATTTTGAAGTTGACATGATTAAAATACAAACAGTAGCACTATTACATGTATTAAGTTAATGAGAACTTGGTTTTCAAGACATGGTATTCCCCAGAAAATAGTTTCAGATGGTGCTAGTTATTACACATCACAAGAATTTAAAGAATTCACAACTAAATGGGACATAAAGCATGTAAGGTCATCACCTCAATATCCCTTAGTGAATCATGCGTGAAAAAAGTAAAAACATTGCGCAAGATGGGACAGACCCTTTGATAGCAATTTTAGAATAACGTGCTTAACCCCGCTAAGCATAGGTTATTCTCCCACTGAAATAAGGACATTTATACCTATGTCTGAAAAGAACTTAACACCCAAAACAACAGATTTTAAGAGAATACATGTTGTTAAGACCAGGGCTCAAGTGAGAATGACCAGGTATTAGAGAGGCATGATCATATATATAACATAGCATTAATGAATATCAAGTAAAGGGAAGCAATCCCATTTAACTGTACAACTAATCATGTAAAGAGTTATCTGATCTTGATATCATAACAGGATAAAAGTTCTAGAGAAACGGAATGAACGAATGATCTGAAATTTTGCTCACAAGTTATAAGTCTAGACCTACATCAACTGCAAAAAATATTTCCAGTCCTGTCGATTAAAAAAAAACCTCAGTGCATTCCATTTAACATCGTGCCAACCTTTTACCGAAAGTGACTTTACTTTACTTTTAGTAAATATATTTTATCATTTTATTCGTCTGCTTCAGAGAAATCGAGGACACTGGACACGTACGGAGATTTGCCCCCGCCATATACTCCAGTTGAAACAACTTCCCATCAACGGCCAACATTGGTTGTAGGCGCTAATTCAAATGTGTTTCATAATGGTGCACGCTTTAACGAATTTGCAAAGCCAGTTATACCAGTAAGAAGATTGCTTCTTCTTAATAATCTTAATAATGTTTGAGTATACAATGTAAATTTAGAAAATTTTGCATGGTAGCTATAACAGTAAGCTTTACACCCTTTTCTTAAATTTGTGTTAAACGTGCCCAGCTTTGAATTTTAAACAGCATTGTTATGATATCGATAATGGTCCGATTCTCTATTGTATCAATACACCAAAATAAAATGTTCACTTTAATAAAACTTTTAATGGAATTAGAAAAAAAAATCCTTTTTAAAGTTTTGAAGACGTGAATGATTACTTTCCAGCCCCCGCCCCCTGGTTGCCGCCCGAACCAGTATCAGCAGATGCAGATGGAGAAGGGACAGTTCAGTGTAGTGTTAAATGATACTCGGGAGTCTCGGACACAGAACACATATGGAACATTCTGACGGCCACTGAACACATATGGAACATTTTTACTGAACCATTCCTTTCTGAAGGAAGTAAATGACTTAGGGTTTCATTAATAAAACGCTAACATTTCATCGATAACTATATCATGTATATGACAATGTATTGTAAAACAATACACGTCTTCATAAAATCACGTGATCTTGGAACAATAGCTCCGTTTATTATCATTTTTATTTCATATTAATTATAACAGAAGAATAAAATAGTCTTGAAAATTTTCCATGTTTTATTGTGAAATAATAATAAAAAAACAACCTGGATGCATTTTTACTGGCATCTCTGGCTCGTCATTTGCTAGATTTAGTTGAACATGTTATTAAAAGAAAACTATTTACACGAGCGTGTCTCTGGCATGAATTACAGGCTCCGAATTCAATAAAACATTATGTGCATAACTTATCAAAAAGCTATATGTTATAATGAGTTATTGTCATTTGGTTGTTAAAGGTCTGAATTGTTTTGCCAATAATATAGGCCTAAATAGCAATAAACATTATTTTTTTTCGTTAAAAGGTTTTTTTTGTTATGAAAAAAGTTGTAAATCAGAAGGATAATATATTAAAGTTTGCACGGGTGTATATAAAAATGTCACGGGTATTTGAATACTTATATATAACTTTAATACCTGTGTATAAGATACCTTAACTTCTTTTCTACCACTTAGTCTCCGGTACAGTAAACTTTATGTCTTCAAATGTATAGAAAAAAGTTTTAAACTTGAGTGAAATAAATGGAAACCTTTATATGTATTGAAATAAAAAATGTCAGGTAAGAAATACATGTTCAATATTTTAGTATGTCAAAGTTAACCTCTTATTTTTGTTTACAAGTTGTTTACTTGTAAACATTTACAGCGTTTAATAAGTATTTCGGGTGTTCAAATTCTTAAAAATGAATATACATAGCCTATTTAAGTTATTAAGTTTATAATATATAGAAATATAGTAGAATAAAGCTCGTTGGGTGTTTTGATTTATTAGTCTGAACATATTTGTACAAAATTTAAACTTTTAATGGTTTGATTTAGATATGAACTTTGTGATCACTGAGAAGATGTAAGTCTTCCTATAGGTGGTATTATTTAACACTTTTAGTCCTATATAAGATGTACTAAATTTTATATAATATCGATTGACTATACACATCGTAATTTGAGGCAAAAACAGGTACACCACATAGTAGTTTATGGTTTAATTGTAATGTTTAAAATGGTAATCCATTCTTCATTTATTTTATAAATATCTTAATATGTGTATTTCAAAAAATACTGTTGTTTTCTGAAAAAGTAATTCAATTCTATTCAATCCAGTTTTTTGTCATTAAACAACACGTACATTCTATAGTCAATATACAATAGTTCAGTAAATAGTATATACGACAGTTGAACAAACAGAAGTGGTCAATGCTATGTACATTTAAATAAGAAATTAGGTCACTACTGCCAGTCCTTTTATGAATAATCTAAATTTAGTTTATCTAAAATAACGAGCAGAGCATTTTATTTCAATCGTTACTATTTAGATATATATTGATCCTGGACGTTAATTGTATACCGTCAATGTCTCTAAGTAGTTATATATCTTTTTAATGTACTAAACAGTTCACAGTATATAGTAGGACTTATTATTTATAAAATTCAAAAGAATCTTAGTTTGTAAAATATTTAACAACAGTCTTTTGACCATATCAACGAATCAGTTGGCTACGGCAGCAGGATTATTTCTGCCAACAGTTTTGATGACGAAGCGTTTAATTATCATTCAGACGTTTGTTTAAAAGGCGACAATCCCATACGTAAAATACAATAATAATGATTTTCTCAACAACCAAAACATCAACAAGTTTTCTACAGCAACATACTTTTTATGCCGCTCTTTATACATAATTCATCGGCTTAGACTATTGTTATAGCACACAAGTTTTATTTTACCATTTTAGATAAATATCGCCTTCCTGACTATGAAGAGTCAGCAGTGACGTCTGCCCAATATTCTGCACCTACTCAAACTTCTGTATCTCAACAGTATACTGTAACTGACCCCGCCGGCACCCAACAACGTACAACGTTAACGCTAGACGCGTCATCAGGAGTGTTTCATAAAGGTGCCCGCTTTGACGAGTTTGCTAAACCCTCCATACCGGTAAGTATATATAATTATTGAAAACTATCGAATATTATATTAGGATTTTATACTAAGACTTTTCTCACAGAACTGTTTTCCCCTTTTTTTATGAAGAGTATTTTTTAAAAATTTTAATCGGTCGTTTTTGCAACCGTTACATTTCAATTGCTTTTGTTTATACTTATTTTCTATTATAAAACAGATATCGTTATCCCTACATTTGGAAAATTTATTTTACAACACTCAAATTAATGAAACATATTATTTATTGAAGCATTGTTTGATATTTTTTCAGCCCCCACCACCCGGATGCCCGCCGAATCATTTTCAACAAATGCAAATGGAAAAGGGCCAACTTAATGTAGTGATCACTAACTCTAATGCTAAACATCATTATGAAAACCACGCATTCGACGACACCGATAGCTGACACATCGCGTGCGCGTTTGAACGCGGGTGCACGTGAGCGCGTGTGAACTTGCAGGCATTTATTAAATCGTGTGCGATAAATTCATTGTGATATGTCCATGATTTTTATGTGAAAAAAACGACAAAAAAGGTGTGTTTTGGAATTCCTAAATAAAAGGTGTAACTTCACCACATCAGAACAGCCACACATGCACTCAAATTATAGATATCTCGTGCTATCTTTACAAACATACAGTTTTACATAATGTCCATTTCTTTTCTTTTTTTGTAATAAAAAGTATTTGAGATTCTTTTTAAAATATTAGCATATTTCGTGACATGTATGTTTATAAATAGTCCGTCACCGAATAATATTTGACTTTGATGACGAGAAAGAAATAGATATAACTGCATGTTATTTTTCACCAACAAATTCTCTCAGAATATTTAAAAGTTTAAATACTAACCACGGGGGACCAACCTGATATGTGCTTCTATTTAAAAGATTTATTGGTTTACGGTAAAACACATCCAGTTCATTTTTGTTGAATTATGGATAGTATTTCACTGAAAACGAAGGTTAGTTTAACAATTTTGTGTTATTTTGTTAAAATATCAATCCTCTTTGAAATAAAGAACATCGAAATACTATTTGACAAAACCAGAAAACATCAAACGATAAAAAAACTTGACCTGTATTTATGTTCCACATTTATACAACCCTTATTTTGTCCGTTCTTTAGGAATCGGCAAGGAATGAAGACCTGCATGAACCCACGACAACAAAAATATCTAAGACCTAAACTCTAGGATGACGGCATACCAAACTGAATGACAAGATGGGAATTGGAAACTATCAGGGAAATATAGAATGATCGAATAGATTTTCGATTAAAAAAGTTTATATGTAACAAAAATAATTTGAAAAAGTAACCTTACCGTTCAATTTCATTAAATACTTTTCACAAAAAGGTGTTTAAGTATCATGAGTATATTCTATATATAGCAAACCAACAAATCTATTCTCTTTAAATTAAAGTGCCCTCACACATAAACACGACCTTACTGCGACCTGAAAACTAGTAAAATAGCATTTTTCTTTCGAAAATCGTTGGTTTTCTTTCAAATTTCTCTCGCAGACGGTCCGGGGCTCTGCAGTCTAGTGTTCAGTACGTTTTCTCTATGTCCTCAATACGATCCTTCTACGTCCATGGCGTTTCCACTGCGACTGTATTGCGTCCCCAAGGCGACCCCACGGCGATCATCGGCGACCCAGCTGCGACTGTGCTATGTTCTCTGCGTCCATACGGCGACTCTACGACGACTATTGCGTTTGTCCGGCGACTGTCCTGCGACTGTACGACGACCCTACTACGTTCTTGCTACGTCTATAAAAACAATACTTTTTACCAGTAAATTTCATTCGGAGTCTGACCTTACGGCGTCCTTAGTACGAGTGTACTACGTCTATTGCGTTCTTATTGCGTCCTTACTACGCAACCCACGGCGACCTTACCAGGACTCAGCAAGAACGCAGAGTTTCTGCGACTGTTTTGTGCATGTTCAAAATAGTCGCCGACGGTCTGCGACCTTGTGCGTCCTTGGGTTCCTCGCTACGACCTCGCTGCGTCCCTGCTGCGTCCATGGCGACTGTGCTGCGTCCTGGGTCGTAGCAAGGTCGCAGTAAGGACGCAGTAAGGTCGCGAGGTATGTGTGAGGGCAGTATAGAGAAGCACATGCCTGATGTTAATACAAGGTTGACTCCGAGAGAATGAAATTTGATGGGGAGCTTCAGATTAAAGTCGCGCCGGCCGCTTCTTTGACTTCATCAGCTAGCTTGTAATGTACCGTTCAGGATGCAGGACATGCTTGATCAACAAAATTAATAGTCCTTCTTTTCAGACATATGTATACAAATGGACAGGAAACTCTAGAAACCTAATATATCTATATATAATGATTATTATCTTTATCTACAGTTTAGTAATAAAGAATTCGATTTTATTTTAAAGAAATTATATAATTAAATAATACGTACTCGTTATTGAAACTAAATGCCTTAGAAAGTTCTACCAGCAATGACTCATTTTGAATACTTAAAATGTACTAAGTTGTATTGTTCTGTACCGGTCAATCCCGGGGGAAGGGCTATGGATGGTAGGGGTAATAAGCAAGGATTTTAATATCTCATCGGTATTCGCACTGCCGGACTACTTTGGTAATTTTACTTTGGCGCCAAATTTGGTCATGTTGACAAGTGATTTTAGCAGGGACTTTGCCACCTGACTGACTAACCTGATGGTCTAGTTGTTTGAAAACCTGGTGTTCCTGCTTTTCCCCAGGAGTGAGACGATGGTTAAAATTGACTGGTCCATTATTTTGACAAGGATCTAGATCTATAAAATTTACGAATATTTTTAGGTATATACAGAACATTTGGGTAAGGGGGGGGGGGGGATCCCAGGATCCGGGATCGTATTAGATATATATGGAAAACTGATTAATAAACTAGGTATTTCTGTTGATATTTGTTGTAGCAAACGGCAATAAAACGTTAATTAAATCATTTTAGTTAAACGTAGATCTAATATTTACAATAACGCATCATGTCGATAGATAACCAATGACACTTAATTACATGGCAAATAGTCATGCAATTACCGAATTTAGACGACCCCGGTTCCCCCCTAACCCTACTGTAGAATGTTTGAAATAATTCGGATTACGATATCTTTAGTTGTAAATAAGAGTTTGTATGTAAACTTTTTGAACGATCCTCGCACGGCTGTATACTAATATTGTGAAACGGACTATAAATATTTAACGCCCAAAATTTGCACTTTTGAATGTAATGCATCATAAACTTTTGGAATTAATAAGAAAAATAAAAAGATAATTTAATTGAAAATAAAATGATACTATAGATTGTTCACAACCATGATTGATAAAAACAGATGCTGGCAGATAATATCCGTTTTCAGTGACATAAATACCACTGCACACTTTATATTGAAATGTTTGACCTAGTTTTGAATTGAAGACCTTGTGGCCTAATGGATAAGGCGTCGGCCTCCGGAGCCGAAGATTGTGGGTTCGAGTCCCATCAAGGTCGGACTTTTTTTTCGTGATTTTTTTATTATAGTTAAGCTTTCTTTCCTAAACAGCTATTTACTTTGAATTTTATTTGTCAATACTTTTGTATATTGCCAACTGTGTGCAGTTTGACACAGTTCTTTTTGACTTTAACATCTGTCTAATTAAAAATTGAAAGTCATAACTTGAAAGCAGTACAAATCCTTTTCAAGAAACTAAAACTACAGTATACATGAAGTAACCATATCCTCAATTCCTCATTACATGAACTAACAATGCCATATAATAATTATACAAATCCTTTAGCATAGAAATGGGTGCTGGATTATTTAACATATTCTATACTGGAAAATTATGCATCAATATATGATTATATTGTAACCCAGCACATCTTTATTTATTACTTAATTTTTATTTTTTGGTGGGAGGAAAGCTTATTTCTTGAGGGGAAATAATCAATTTTACCTTCCTTACAACAATTGACTGTTGTGTAAGACATTGTGATATATGGCCATTTTGACTAATTAATAATTTAAGGTATATGCCGAATATGGTATTATATATTATATAGAAGGACTGTCGAGTAGGACAGTGTGCTTGACTATTCTCAGTGCTTGATAGTTAAACAAGAGCGTGGATAATGTAGAATCTTCTCAGTTCAAAAAGGTCCATAATTCTGTCATAATCCATATGGATAGTCAAAATCCATATGGATAGTGTCCTTGTATTATGCACTCAAATAAGTGTGTGAAGATTCAACCCATTCTCTTCAGTAGTTTATGAGATACCACATCATGTAACTGAATCTTCATCATTCTGATCATGGTGTTAACTGTTTGCTATTCAGTCAGTGGTTCAGTTGGACATGTCCATTTCAGACATGAGCCGCGTCATGACAAAACCAACATAGTGCGTTTGCGACCAGCATGGATCCAGACCAGCCTGCGCATCTGCACAGTCTGATCAGGATCCATGCTGTTCGCTATTAGTTTCTCTACTTGTTATAGAGTTGGTAAGCGAATAGCATGGATCCTGATCAGACTGCGCGGATGCGCAGGCTGGTCTGGATCCATGCTGGTCGCAAACGCACTATGTTGGTTTTGTCGTGACACGGCTCATTTATTTAATTTAATATGGTAGAAGTAATACTTAACATACTAGCATGTGATTGTATGGTATTCACATATAATCTTAGTTCATGAAAATAACAAGTACCTTCAGAATACTTGTGTTGTGAGCACATCTAAAATGATGCAAATCTTGGCTGTATTCTGCTATACATGTTCTTAGACTATCCATTATTAATTTCATTTTAACAAGGTTATAGTCACTCGAGTTATAAACTACTACTGGTTTGGGAGATAAACTCGGCCAAAAATCAGTGTTTTGGGGGCATATTTCATTTATTTGTTCACGTATTCTGACCAATCTTGCACCATAATAAACTTCAGCTCTTCAATTTTCCGTTATCACCATAGAAGTTATATTTAGAAACATTATGGGTAATTTTGAGAGGCCCTGGAAGAGGTACGTAAAAAGGATATTTTTAACGCGCGCGAGTAGATAATTCCAGCTCTTTGTTTTTCTTCTTAAATGATTAAATTAAAACGTAAAATAACATGTTTAGACATTTTATTATTTCTGTGCTGTTCATTTATGTCAAATAAAAAAATATTTGTTACCAAAATTGTTGACCATTACGTTAGTATAATGAATATCTATGATAACACGATATTTATATCCAACGTACTATGTAACATATAAATCATTTTTACGTAAAAACACATGCATTATCATTTATTAACGTATAACGAAATATGTAGTTAAAGAATAAGTGATTAAAATTTATTTTTGCTTAGCTTAACAGAATGAAGAAGAAATTAATTTAGTGGTATTCAACCTACACATTAACATATTAAAGGAGCATTTAACATTAGTCTTTCAATCCATTCCACTTAAAGATTCCGATTGTGTAATCAGCCTTTTTTCTGAGTTAGCAAGACAAAAGTGAGTCTGAATTTCATCTACAAAATGTACGTAACGTCGTTTGCTTTACCGGTAGTCGGTCAATATATAAAAGTACCCCTGTGCGGGCCTCAAAATGAGCATCTGCTGCACATGCGCACCAAAATGGGATTCCCGTACTTTACATAGGCATGTTTTGTAAACAAACAGGTAAAACTCTGTGTTATTTTTTAAATTTCTTACCAAACTTGACAAAATTTCCAGATATTGTCGAATTCCAGCGATAGTATGAGATGGTGAGCTTGATTAGATTAAAAATTCCGATAACTCGATTTAATTATAAAAAGCCGAGTTTATCAACCAGCCGAAGTTATCTCCCCAACCAGTATACCTTACAAACTGTCAGAGAATTAGTTTATTCCTGTGTAGGCTCATTCTAATAAAACAGAAAATTTGGGTGTGAAACTTAAGCAAAATTTAAAATATGCCAAGTCATATTGTCAAAGCCTGGTAATGTATAAACTATTCAAAATTTGGACTCAAACATACACAAATTGGGAAAAAAACAAAAAATAAACAAGAGCAAATTTATACAAAATATGTTATTTCATAATATGTTCGACTAATACATGTCAAGTATTGATTAAAATAGGAAGAAGAAATAAGAAAAAATTTAAGAGAAATAACCACAGTAAGTATTAAACATGTACATGTAAAGCTTATCTCCACAACTTTGACAGTAGTACGCCTACTGAACAAACATGTAGAAACATTGCCTAATGATAGAGAGTTTCAGATGGTTCTGTCATGACATGTTAATTGAGAATGTCATATTTACTCTTATCAAAAAGATTCAGAAAAAGTACGAGTCAAAATATCTCAACAAAAATTTCACACTCTTAGATCGGAATAATGGTTAATAACAAAATATATCACAGTAAAATCTATGAAAATCTTTTCTTTATTATTGCATAGAAAACATAATATTATCTGCTTTTTATCAGAATAATATGCTATTTTTTGTTTCATCACCAGATAAGTAAGTAATAAAGTGTTGAGTCAAATTTATACCCATCTTCTTTAGTTCTAGTATTGCATTATTGACAACATATTTTTTTTATCAAGCACATGTACAATTATCAAGTATTTGCCAAAATAATGAGTATGACAAAATCTGCTCCAAACCCCAAATTACAAAAGTAACGTAGAAAAAAACTCCTCTAAATTCATAACTTTTAACTATCAATTAAACTAAACTATTGAAAGATATAATAAACAAAACAAAAACATGCATAAATGTAAAGTAACATGTTTACATAACTAATAAACACCTAAATACCAAATGAAATCGAAAAAAAAAGCGGGAAAATTTGCAGCTTTGCATGCTTTAACTTTTAAGCTTCTTTATTGTTGAATAATACATCTCCAGACAAATTTAAAGTAATTAAGCACAAATTGTTAACTGGTCCACTAAATTGATAGAAATATGGAATGATATGATAAATTATTATGCAAGAAAAAAAAGCAAGGAGAAAATGTAAGCCCAAAAATAACCAAATGTAAGCTTTGAAACTACAATCTCAACACAAACAAGCTCATGCATTTTCATCTATACTTTTAACAACTTTCTTCAAGTGTTGAACTTTTCAATTATTTCTTTTTCTGTATAACGAATGTGTAACATTAACTTTATTGTAACATGAATCTTTCTAGTTTACATATATCTTTAACAAACTAAAATTGCCATTTCCCTATATCGACATTAATTTTGCTGTTTTTCCCAACTATATACGAAAGTATACTGTCAAATATATGCAAGTTAAAAAAAGAAAATAACTTTGATCAGTTGCTCATCCTGACATAACAGCCTTCACAAATTCTGAAAAACAGAAACAAATATGGCTTCAATTATAAGACAAAATTATAACAGAAATAACTTATAATTTATCACAGAAATGAAAATAACCATACAGTACTGTTTTTGCAGTTAACTTGTGTATAAGTTAACCCATCGATTTACCCATTTTCGACATGTTTTTATTTTTTTTTTTATATTTTTTTGTTAAAAACCAATTTTTAAAAATTTTTGATTGGTTTAAGTCACTTTAAACCCCGGGGAAAGATAGCTTAGAAAGGGTTTTTGCTTTGCTGAAAAGCATTTCCCCCCAGGGATTTTTTCCCAGCAAAAATTTTTGGTTTCCTAATCCGTGATAAAAACCCACAACTTGCCAAAAAGCTAGTTACACACCCTTTTCACAAAAAAAAAACCATAAAATTTTGTGAAAGAAATCCAAACTATTTGAAAAGATTAAAACCTTTAAAACAGGGGTAAAGTATGTGCACTTGGTCACAGAGATCCACTTTTTCCCTTTTTTTAAATTTTAATTTTGGAACATGAAACAAGGGGAATTTTTCAAAAAACTTAAAATTTAAAACATGTTTTTAATTTTCATGCTTTCCGGTGTTTTATTGTAATATATCAGATGATTATATTCCGATAAACCACTAGTGAAATTTATAAAATATAATTTTCACTATAGCCTGACTATATCTGAATGCGGATGAAAAGAAAATCATAATTAAATGGAATTACAGGCAGAAATAAATGCCGTCATACGTAAATTTTGTTTCTTTAGGAAAAGAAAGTCGATGTCACCATACATCATATTAAAAATGTAACAACATCAGAGAAATTTAACAGAACTATATTTCAAAATTGATGACGTGACGTCATGATGTGATGACGTCACAAAGGAGAATGCGTGACGTAACGCAGCAAAATCAGTATTAAGATACTTAAAATCACGTAAAAACCATGAAATAAAAAGAAAATTTATTTGTTTTACATATTAGATTGAAATATATTTCATTCGTGAACACCAGCTATTTTATTTTCACTTGTGGCTACGCCACTCGTGAAAATATTGCATCTGGTGTTCACTCAGTGACATTATATTTCAATCTTACATGCCAAACAAACAAATATCCTCTATGTATCTTAATTCCTTAGTATGTGATTTAATTGTTGCTACAGCAGGAAATTTATTGTTACAACTCCCAAGACTTTTATTTGAACAAACTTGGTAGACACTCACTAGAAGATGTTTCATGCCAAATATCTAAGCTCTAGCTCTTTGGGTTCTTTAAAAGAAGATATTTAAAGTTTTTTCTTTCGGTTCCCATGGAACCAGGTTCTGATAAATTTAAATTTTTTTGAACAATTTTTAAACCTTGGTGCCCACCAAAGAACATTCCTGTAATTTTGGATGAAATTTTAGGGGTTTTTTAAAGGAGATTCTTTGAAGTAAAATTTACACGGAGGGACCCGGAGGGAAGCCGGACGAAAAGCGATCACAATAGCTCACCCTGTCACTTTGTGACAGGTGAGCTAAAAAAGCATTAATTATTGAATTACCATAATTGTGTGATTTAATCCTTCCCCAGGAATATAAGGTCAGGTACTACTCTGTTGACTGATCAACATCATTGACAGTTTAATATTATTGAAATCCTTTAACTTTTTGAGGACAATTTAGACTTCAAAATAAGACAAGTCAAAAAGATTCAGGATAATGTAAAATTAATTATTACATATACACACAAACAACATGGCAGTCACGAGTGTTATATGTTTGCATACCTTCATAGTTGATATTTCCAGAGGCATCTTCCATTCCCTGTAACAATTGATCTACTTCATCATCAGTCAGTTTGTCACCTAAATTATATGAAATTCAAAAATATTATTTTCTGTTTTGATATGGTTTTAAGCCAAAATGATTTAAGTTCATATAGTGACTTTTTACTTTATCGGTGGAGGAAGACCTCATGTGCCCCCACTGTTCATTATTTCAGACACAAAAGAGCATACCTCATGAAAACAACTAGCTTGATAGATAAAACATATTATATAATATTTTGTTTTCTAATCTTACTTAATTATTTAAGTAAAAAAGTTTTTATCATCATATAATGACAGTACTAGTATTTCATCATTTTAAATGCTATCAGCTAATTGTTAAGCTTTGTTGGGTTTTAAAGGTCATACGGGTGAATTTCTAGTTTTACACCTCATGATTTCTACCATGTATTACTTCAGGCACAAGCTTAATACAATCCTTCAAAGAGGAATTCAAACTTCCAGCCGTGAGAGGCAAGTGATTTAAAGTCAGCAAACCTTAACCTCTCAAATACCAGCTTAAAGACTCTTCATGGATACTGTTGTCTGCTCAATTTATTAATCTTGTTATTGAAACCTCCAAAATCAATTATAAACAGTTGCACATTAAAACCAAGACAAGTTCATTACACAAATGCTTATACCTTGTATAAAATCAAAAAATTTCTATGGCCAAAAGTACAAAGGTAGATGGAGTTTAACAAACTGTATACTAACCAAGACAAGTTAGGATATGTCGTAACTCAGCGGAACTTATGAAACCATTCTGCTCCTTGTCGAACATTTTAAACCCTTCAGTAAAATCATCGCAACTGTGCTGCTCTCTGCTTCTGTTAATTGTTTGAAAAATTGGCAAGAACACTTCAAAGGAGATTCTAGCATCTGAAATAAAAGATTTATAAAGTTAAAATAATAAGCAAATAATAAGCAATGTAAAAAAGTAATGTATAATTATTTTTATTGACAAGGAAAACGGCCATCTTCTAGCTCAGTGGGACTTACAAATAATACTATATTATGTAAAGGACAAATTTCATTTCATAACACCTAAAACAAGTTGCAGGAAATTGAACGCATTTTCAACCATGTAAGTTTGTGGCCACACATCAGAATGAATTGTTTAACATGCTACACAATTAAATTCTACTGTGTTTATACTGTAGGTTATTTCTTTAAAGTTTAAACCTCAGAATTCTCAAAATTACATAATACTATTACAAGTGTATATAATATTACATACGATTATCACTAACAACTTTTAATACATGTATATTATTAGTTCTTACAATCCTGTTTAGCGATAATTTTTGTTTTTGCAATATTATTGATCCTTTCACAGTATTACTATCATCTCACCATTTTAACAATTTCGCATTAGGCTTAAAATAGCTTTATGCTAGTATCCTACAGTTTTTATTTACTCCAATTAATATAGTCTCTTAGATATTATGCAAGTTTAAATTGGGTATGTAAAAGATTAAAGAATTAGTATCACATTGATCAGATGTACCGGGGTATGTGAAAATTGTTTCTGTCACTCTGACATATCGAGGGTTGACCGCTAAACTGCAGTAACTTATAAAAAATAAAGAAGAACTAATGCAACAGTTCTGCAATCAACCCACAATATCAGGACATTGGATATGTTCTGCAATTCATGTACTTATAATTTTCTGATGTGTCCTTTTTTCATTTATACTAGGCAGATTAACTGATAATTGCCTGTAATTACCATGTAAAATCCTATCATAAATGTCTTCAATATGAGCTACTGTACCACATACATTATCTATAATCAAACTGTAAGCTGTCACTTCACATATAAATTATGGTAACATATGTCATTCAAATGCCTACATGTGTAAGTCAATCAATATTATTTTTAGACAATCATTTATTTCATTGTGAATTTCTGACACAAATTATCAATCCTGAAATGCATATTTTAACAGTCATTGGGGAATGGCATAAAATCTCAGGTATAACTTAACTTAGGTATAACTAAACGTCTTAGTATTGATGAACATTGCATCTCAAAATATTTCGTTAAAATTCTAATGAAATTTAATACAGTGTCATGAATTTTCTAAATATTGTCATGTGTTAAATTCCATTGCTTTTAAAGACACCAACTCACCAGTCCATTAATACAAAGTGCATTGATACAAAGTACTATATAAATGTATACATCTGACAAAATAAGATGTTTCTTTGGATCATTTAATTGTATTCAGTCCTTTTTCCAAACTTTAAGGGTTACTGAAGCATTTCACTATTTGTATCAACTAGAAATTTTGTGCATACTTTTTTTGTAAGTAATACAAAGTATGTACAACAAATAGCATGTTTACCTGGATTATTGGCATATCCACATTTTCTTATCTCTGATTCTGTTGGATTCTGGCCAAGAGATCGTAGAGTGTCACCTAGTTGACTAGCTGCAATTTTTCCATCACCCTTCATGTCAAACAGGGCAAAAGTATCACTAATATCTACAAATTAAACATACAGATACATTAAACAAATTAATTTTAATATGAAAATGTATTGCAATAATCTTCCAAAGCAACATAGTATAATAAATTACACAGTCTGCAACAATTCTCAAATTTTTCATGTACAAAACTGGCGTTTTGACAATTGTTGTCATAAGCATGCTGCATGTTACTTTATAAAATCCCTCACAAATAAGATCTACATTTCATACTTATACATGAATAATTTAAATTGTTTCATTGATATCTATGAATGTGCAGCGTATTTTTTCTCTACTTTGGGAATGGTGCCGGTACCAGACTGATTGGGAAAAAATGCGTTATTTTGACTTAATTGGGAATTTTTTTTAAGCTTTTTACAGCTTCAAATAAGATTAGTCATCATGAATAAAGATAGCTAACAGCTTCCACTGTCCAGGTAGAACTATTGAGTGGTAATTTATATGAATATGTTGGATTTAAATGATTTCAGAGAAATAAGTTGGCTTTGTGGGAATTTGAACAGCCATTTTGGGAATTTAAACATTGGAAATTGGGAATTTTAATGTCTATTTTCTATTGGGAACAGTACCGTTTTAGGGTAGTAGTTATATAAAGAAAAAAATCACTGATGTGACACATTGATTTTGGTTAAATGTATATAGTTATGAATTGATCATTATGAAAAAGGCATTTTCTTTTCTTTTTTTTCTATTTTTGACTGAAATTTAAGTTACATGGACACATGTCATATTTTGAGTGTCACAAAAATATGTCATTCCTGTTCTACAAATAACTCTTTAAGTAGAATAATTTTATCTCAAAAATGTATTTCTCAATCATGCCAGAGTTAACAATGGCATAATTTGTTGATTTTAGTTTATCAAAGCAAAATGTTTTTGTTTCTCCTGTTGTCAAGAACATATCTTTCACTTTAATGGAAAGATATTCCACAAGCATTACAGCCCCCATCGAAAAACTTAACACAAGCTAGCACTTAGTGACTAACAGTAACAATATAGAAATATCTTGTAATAATATGCAGAAAGCTTTTACTGTACAAACTAAACAAGTCTTAAACTTTACATACCACTCATCTGATCCTCTGTCATTTGAGACTGAAAAAAAACAGCGCAAGTTACTTCAAGCATTTTTATACTTTATCAATAATTTACATGACTGTAACTAGTTAAAGTATACAATGTAACATTATTATTATTATTATTATAGCTATAATGATTTATTCATAATGCATGAAAGATATCAATCTTTCTCATTTCATAAACTATTCAATGATAATATCATGCTAATGATGTCAATTTCTCTTTTACTCTCAACTCATTCAATGAGAGAAAACTACAAGTTATCTCAGTAAATTTTGCTCTGAAAAAAAACATCTGGCAGTTGCTTTGTCTCAAGTTTAATACATTCTATCAGAATGGCCCAGACAAACTTATTTCTATATTCAATTTCTCCAATAGTAGAGCATAAGTATTTTATTAGACTACCAGAACACAAATTTTAAATAATATACTAAAAATACAGAACCACTAATATTTAAGTATCAAAATCAGGATCAAATTTAAAAAAACTCAAACATTCTCCATAGTTTATCCTCTTAATTAGTTTGAAAATTTAATATTAACTTCATAACATTGTACATGAAATACATACAATTTTATGAAATTTTACATTTTTAGAATTAATTCATTGGCATTTTACAGTTGAAACAAGTATTGATCTTGATCCTATTAAAATAGATCCTTACTTTGATCTGATTAGTCGCCGGTAGAAACCGGCGACTATATTTGTAACAGTTTAATATTATACCTATGGTAGGAGAAGGCATTAATTTTTGTAAATAAAAGCATAACAATTACTGAACAATTAAAGACTACAATTGTTTTCAGTAATATCAAAAATTCAAACATACAATAATGTTGCTAAATGAAATGAAATATTCAAATATTGACATCGTAAAAAGCAACATTACAATATTTATAAAATGAATTAATGACGTATCCCTATGGACCAGTCATTGAATTTAGGGATGCTTTTACTTTTTTTTAAAGTGTCAAGCGTCGCTATTTTATGATAAATAAATCATGCATGATATTTGAAATGACACTTTTAAATTATCTGGTTGTTTGTATCTTATGAGATCTATTCTATTTTTTTATCTTATTTATTATAAACAGTTTCTCCCAGAATCACGTGACTACACGTTGTATGTTATTGTTATAAAATCTATTAATAGTTACAAATGGCTGATAAGACTGACATACAGGTTAGCAGCTGATAAAGTGCAAATCAAAGTAATTTTGTATGAAAAATCTCGGTATGACAGTAGGGGCCGGAAACGTATTGAGTACACAGAGAAAACTAATAAACTATCTTTGTTTTGATAGTTTATTGCACTGAAAGGCAATTAAACGTTAACTTTATCGTATGTAACGAAAGGAATATTGATTTCAGCTAAAACATATATTTTTTCGATAGTGCATAAGAATAATTTTTTTATGCAGACACCACTTTTACAGTAGAATTGCATTGTTTTATGCAATAATTAAGCATATATATTTTCATAGTCACTTTGCAAGTATTCGATGATCGGTAATAATTTGTCGGTAATTATCGTATGCTGAAGAAAACCATACATACAACGGTATATGTATAAAGTAGAATTACAAGTAGAATTATAATCATATCACTTGCTTTACAAGCCTCGATGACAAGTTGTTAGATTTTAAGTTAGTTTCAAATTGAAGACTGTAGGATAAAGTGATTTTTTTATGTTTTCTTTTATAATACTTTTTGTATTTTGCAAAGCTTGACCGTTTATCAAAATTATGAAATAAACAAGAGGCCATGATGGCCCTGAGGTCGCTCACACTGTATATAGCCCCCCCCCCCCCACCCCCGGGCCAATTTTTATCCAAGGGCTTTTATTTGTTTATTTGAACAGACTTGTTAGAACACCCATAAGAAGATGTTTCATGCTAAACATCTAAGTTCTAGCTCATTGGGTTTTTTTAAAGAAGATTTTTAAAGTTTTTACTAATACACATATAGTTTAAAAACAATGACACCCCTGGGGCAGGGCCAGTTTTGACCCCCGGGCTTTTATTTGAACAAACTTTGTAGATATTTACTTAAAGATGTTTCATGCTTAATATCTAAACTCTAGCTATTTGGGTTTTTTAAAAAAAGATTTTTAAGTTTTTGATATACACATATAAGGAAAATCAATGACCCCCCCGGGCGGGGCCAGTTTTGACCCCAGGGCTTTTATTTGAACATACTTGGTAGATACCCATTAGAAGATGTTTCATGCTAAAATATCTTAAGCTCTAGCTCTTTGAGTTCTTTAAAAGAAGATTTTTTAAGTTTTTACTATATGCATATAGGGAAAATCTATGACCCCCTGGGGCGGGCTCAATTTTGACCCCAGGGCTTTTATTTGAGCAAACTTGGTAGACATTCACTAGAAAGACATTTCATGCTAAATATCTAAAGCTCTAGCTCTTATGGTTCTTTAAAAGAAGATTTTTTAAGTTTTTTACTATATGCATATAGGGAAAATCAATGACCCCCGGGGCGGGGCCAATTTTGACCCCAGGGCTTTTATTTGAACAAACTTGGTAGACACTCACTAGAAGATGTTTCATGCTTAATATCTTAGCTCAGCTCTTTGGGTTCTTTAAAAGAAGATTTTTTAAGTTTTTACTGTATGCATATTGGGAAAATCAATGACCCCCTGGGGCGGGGCCAATTTTGACCCCAGGGCTTTTATTTGAACAAACTTGATAGAAATTCACTAGAAGATGTTTCATGCCAAAATATCTAAGCTCTAGCTCTTACGGTTCTTTAAAAGAAGATTTTTTTAAGTTTTTACTATATGCATATAGGGAAAATCAATGACCCCCGGGCGGGGCCAATTTTGACCCCAGGGCTTTTATTTGAACAAAATTGGTAGACACACTCACTAGAAGATGTTTCATGCCAAATATCTAAGCTCTAGCTCTTAGGGTTGTTTAAAAGAAGATATTTAAAGATTTTTCTTTCGGTTGCCATGGCAACCAGAGTTCTGCATGGAATTAAATTCTTTGAACAATTTTTAAAGGTGACCACCAAAGGAACATTCCTGTGAAGTTTGGATGAAATTGGCTCAGTGGTTTATGAGGAGATGTCATTTAAAGCAAAAGTTTACGGACGGACGACGGACGGACGGACGACGGACGGACGCCGGACGAAAAGCGATCACAAAAGCTCACCCTGTCACTTTGTGACAGGTGAGCTAAAAAGTGCTAGAAATGAAACACACGATTTATCAACTTTTGTTTCATAAAGTTAAAAGATATAATAAAAATCAATTTATGAAAATTACAAACAGGATTTGTCCGAGATTCGAACTTGCGCCTACTACATGTAGGTTACAACTTCGTCATACTTACCACTAGGCCATCGAGCAGTATTAATTGATATAATTATACATGTAACTATACTTACAATAAAATCGTTAACATTAATCATAATAAGTTATGTAAGCAAACGAAAAACAGCTCCCGAAAATTATTGAGTCTCGGGTAAATATTGCCAAACAATACTTGCTTATTTAATAATTTGAAAACAGTTTCTTGACAAAAATTGCTAAGCAAAGTTTGCTCCAAATATGATATTTTATTATAACATAACATAAATTTATTGCATAAAACTCTCAGCAAGAAAGATATAATTGTGGGAAGTAAATGAAAACGTGTTTAAGAATAAACATTACTCAACTTATTGTTCCTCTTTTCTTTATACTTGAACCATTAAACTGATATTTTCTTTTATTTATGATAATACAATCATATTTCTATCCGGCGACTTGATGCTTTAGCATCAAAATCTCTACTTGTTATTTTTGTATTTGTTTTGTTATTTGTTGATTCTTTCCCAACATTGGGTGGTTTCTTTGCAAATCAGTATTTTTTTTCTATTTTGTTTATGTACCATTGCATGCTAGCAAAATATTAGGGGTGTCATCGATTCAATCGATATCGGTGTATCAACGATCTTTGTTATCCGATTCTATATTGATTCCGTTTTTTTAAATATTGGATATCGAATGCACATATATTCTAGCTATGGAAGCATGATCAGTAACTACGTAGTAGCAACAACAACAACTAAAGTAAAATGGAAAAGGCTTTAAACTTTATAGTTACTAATCATTAGTTTTCATTTATAGCTATATGATAAAAAAAGAAACAAATTGTTTAGTTTTCATAGTTTATCTTTTTTGCATTTGTCTAAATATAACTGCTTTGTCAGTGTCCTAAGGAAACATTTAAAAAGACTTGAAAGCTAAAATTTAGTCTGGCAATCGATGTCGCTGTATCACCGATAATTCATTACCGATTTATCGATACAAAAATCCTTATCGATGACACCTCTACAAAATATGATTAATTTTACTTTAAACAAGCAACAAAAATAAAATCAGGATTAGATTTTAGCCTTATTGATATGATGTGAATTGTTTGGCCAATTTTACAAGCTATTGACCTTTTCGAAAACCTAGCTAAACACCGTTTTCCGGTATGTTGCGTATTTAGCTCTGGGGAATTACACCAAATGAAGTACATAACACACTCACAGTTACATGATATTTCTATTTTTCTATCATTATTTTACTGTTTAAGGTGAAAAAAAAAATGATGTTTTTGAAAATCATCAATATTCCTTTAATATCTATTGCAAATTTTGTAAAAAATAAATTGTTTATAATGAAAATCAATAAAATTTAAACAGACATAGTGGAATCTTCCATAATAAATAAGGTTATTTTCTGCGTAAACTTATTTATTTACTTTATTTTTTTGTATGGAATTATTCATACAATGATATTCAATTTTTTCTTATTCACGAATTCGAAAACCTAGCTAAACGCCGTTTTCCGGTACTTTCTGTACATAGCTCTGGGGAATTCACCTAATGGAGTGTAATAGCAAACTCAATGTTTTCGGCCTTTTTTTAAAATTAAACTGAAACAAAACAGTTATTTCTTTATAAGAAAATAATTAAATATCATTGTATGAATAATTCCATACAAAAAATAAAGTAAATACACAAGTTTACGCAGAAAATAACCTTATTTATTATGGAAGATTCCACTACGTCTGTTTGAATTTTATTGATTTTCATTATAAACAATTTATTTTTTTGAATAATTTGCAATAGATATTAAACAAATATTGATAATTTTCAAAAACATCAATTTTTTTCACCTTAAACAGTTAAATAATGATAGAAAAATAGACCAGTGATTTTTTTTCCAATTTTCAAAACAACCTGTGGCTTTCTGAAGGGGAAAATATAGCGCGATAAATCAGAAAAGGGGGAAATCAAATTCCAACAACTGAGAGTGGAATTTACCCACACATTTTATAAAATCTTTAATTTCAATTCAATTTATCATGCATGGTACATAGCAGAGGCTATAGGGATTCATTCTAGCTGATATAATAAGTCAGATGCTGTTATATAATGGTTCTGGTGAAGTGACAGGGCATTACAGGGGAAAATATTAGCTTTTTTAGGGGAAAATATACCTATTTTTAGCTAGGGGAAACAGCCTTTATTCTGCTGTAAAATACAGGGAAAAAAATCACTGTAGACATATCTTGTAACTGTGTTATGTACTTCATTTGGCGTAATTCCCCAGAGCTAAAACGGTAACGTCCCGGAAAACGGTGTTTAGCTAGGTTTTCGAAAAGGTCAATAAAGAAATAACTGTTTTATTTCAATTTAATTTTAAAAAAGGCTGAAAACATTGAGTTCGCTATTACATTCCATTAGGTGAATTCCCCAGAGCTATGTACAGAAAGTACCAGAAAACGGCGTTTAGCTAGGTTTTCGAATTCGTGAATTTTCAAACTGTCAAACCGTTGGAAAAAGACATCGCCCTGCCCCTTCCAAAATTATTTTGATGTCTCTTTGACAAGTCTAATTAGTTGGGCTTCTGTCACCTGTGAGTGTGATAGAAAATTGGCTGAATCAAATTTTTAAAATGTTCAAGTGTCACCAATTTATGTTTTATGTTTATTATACTACTGGAATCTGTTGATAATTGATAAGTAAACAATGGTTACGAATCAAATTGAGTACGAAATATACTAAGATCTACATGTCTTTACACAATCTTTTAGTAAAGCCTTATATAAAATATCTTTCATAAAAGAGTTCAAAATAAACAAAGAATACGTGTCAAATGTAATCGACAGGATTTACAATACACGATTGCAAAGTTTTGAACAATTCATAAAAAAAATGAATCCAGGAAATGGCGAAAATAAATTTCTTTTCGATTTTCCCCTCACTTAGTTCAATATGTGAATTTTTTTTTTAGTTGAATGAAGTAGATTAAACCAGAATAATAAGAACAAAAGGAATAAAACAACTTACCATTTTTGAAATTGTCAACGGCACACCCGAAATATGAAAAATTCAACAGAAGTCTTTACCGGAAGTGGAGATGAGTGTATATTTTCTCTATAGTCTGTTTCAAAGTAAACAAGGGTCGTATCAAACTGCTCGCTTTAGGTCGGGGAATTTGCCACTGTAACTGGAAGTTGAATTTATGTTATCGTTAGTCCCAGGTTAATACATCATTAGCAACAGAGCTAAAAAGAAAGACAAACTACTTTAAAGCAGCATGCTGCTATAGCTATTTTCATAAAATTTGAAAACCTACTTTAAAAGTACAATATTTAATTAAAGTAAAATACTGAACTTATGTAGCGAACAATTAAAGAAAGTAATTTGTAAACACATTTGATACATTTTCATTTTTTTTTCATGAAAATTAGCATGAATCAAAATGCATGCTGTCTTTGTGAAATATTTCCATCCTCACCTAGGTGATAATTATAGGTTAAAATGATCGTACGTCTATTTAATCATAAGCCTCTATATATACCAACATGGTGTCCGATATTTAAAGTGCACTTTGCGGAACTCGGTTGCTGAGTAATTCTTGGAGTTTCAGTAATGCACAACAGAGTCACATCATTGCAATAGACTTTGGCAAAGTTCAATGACAATAATCATTTACAAAAACTACAGTTTGCCAACATAATGTGTTCAGAGTACAATATGGCGATGGCACGATGGTGAAAACGCGATGGTACAATGATGAAAACACGGAAGTACGATGGTGAAAACGCAATGGCACGATGGTGAAAACGCGATGGTACAATGATGAAAACACGGAAGTACGATGGTGAAAACGCGATGGCACGATGGTGAAAACGCGATGGTACAATGATGAAAACACGGAAGTACGATGGTGAAAACGCGATGGCACGATGGTGAAAGCGCGAAGGTACGATGGTGAAAATGCGATTGCACGATGGTACGATGGTGAAAACGCGATGGTACGATGGTGGAAACGCGATGATACGATGGTGAAAACGCGATGATACGATGTTGAAAATGCGATTGCACGATGGTGAAAACGCGATGGTACGATGTTGAAAATGCGATTGCACGATGGCGAAAACGCGATGGTACTATGCTGAAAACGCGATGGCGCGATAATGCGATGATACGATGGTGAAAACGCGATAATACGATGTTGAAAATGCGATTGGACGATGGTGAAAACGCGATGGTACTATGCTGAAAACGCGATGGCGCGATGATACGATGGTAAAAACGCGATGGTACGATGGTGAAAACGCGATGATACAATGGTGGAAACGCGATGGTACGATAGTGAAAACGCGATTGCGCGATGGTACGGTGGTGGAAACAGCATGATACGATAATGAAAACGCGATGGTACGATGATGAAAACACGATGGCGCGATGGTGCGATGGTGGAAACACCATGGTACGATGGTGAAAACGCGATGGTACGATTGTGGAAACGCGATGATACGATGGTGAAAATGCGATGATACGATGGTGAAAACGCGATGGCGCGATGGTACGATGGTGAAAACGCGATGGTACGATGATGAAAACACGATGGTGAAAACGCGATGATACGATGGTGAAAACGCGATGGTACGATGATGAAAACACGATATCGCGATGGTACGATGGTGAAAACGCGATGGCACGATGGTGAAAACTCGATGGCGCGATGTGTAAAACGCGATGATACGATGGTGAAAACTTGATATAACATCGCGTTTTCACCATCGTACTATCGCGCTTTCGCGATTTCACCATCGTACCATCGTGTTTTAATCATCCTACCATCGTGCCATCGCATTTACACTATCGTACCATCGTGCATCGCGGGTATACAGACTAAATAAAAAAACACGACTCTCCAAACTGAACACCGTAGTTTAGCAATGATTTCATGCATATACATGTACATATTTTGCCCAAAAGAAAATACATGTAAATCAAGATATATTTATTTTATACAGCCATTTTGGATTTTTATCGTATATTGTTGAAAACAACGTGTTGCTTATTTCAAATAGTCAAAGCATAGTTTGAATTAAGTAATTAGCTAGAAGATATATAATTTTTCGTATAATTCTTATTCTTATTGCCGCCTTTATGTAAACTAGTTTATAATTATAATTATAAAACTTTTCATAGAATTTTGGATGCAAACGTTTCTCAGCATGTAAGTTATTTGTTTGTCAGAATTTATAGGCAAGATAATCTTACAGACATGTATATATCAAATGTTCGTTGTTTGAAAGGTACTGACTCTTAGGCAAGTGAATGTTTTTTTGTGTTTTTTTTTGCTTGTTTCTTTTTTGGAGAAAATCATCATTCCCGATGCACGTTTTTGTAAAATTTCAACGTAACATTTCCAGCAAATGACAAGATATAGCTTATATATATATATATTACTTGATGTAGCATGTTCTGAACTTTTTTACTCTGTGCAAAAAAGTGAAATTTGGACGGATGTTTTGTATGTTAGTTCTGAGTGACTATATATACTGCCATTTACATGTTTCCATCTTTCAGAATTGCTGCTTTTGTTAGGTTGGGTTTTACGGTGCTCTTCTGTACATTATGTTAGGGACAAACGGGTACCTGAGTAGAACCACTGACATTCTGTAATCTAGCTGGATAGCTTCCTCGCATGCAGAATTCGACGGCGCTTGCACGGCTCAAACATACAGCGATGAGAGGCAGCGGTTTGAAGTCAAATACCTTAACCACTCGCCATGGCCGCCCCAGATTGGCTGATAGATAACATTCATGGAACATAATATCAATAAAAAAAATATGATGTCCTTAAAAAATGATATGTGAGGATATGTTAGAGATGATATATTTTAATTTGTTTGTGAAATATATTTAAACTTTACAGTTAAGCAACGCACTTTTAAAAACTCATATTATTGCACCGTTAAAATCATACTTAACCCAATGCAAAAATGTATAATTGAAATATAAGACTTCAAATGATATAATCTAATTTTGATAAAGCTATATTTTTTTTAATCGTGAAATGTTTTCATTGTCCTCATCAATTTTTTTTTTATTTTTATACATTTATTGATAAATGCACCTTTTTGTTGTCTGCTGAATGTTGTCATCATTTCAGATAATAAGCTTTAATGATGTGAAATAACTCGGCCTCTTTTCTCGTCTTCACGCAAGCGTTTTTTTCTCATCTACACAAGTATTTTAATTTTTTGTGCATATAATGATGTACATTAATATGTATACAAAAAGCCTAGTAATTTCCCTTGGTCCTCGAACATTCGTCAAGTATAGGTACGCGAACATGAATTCTTATCATTCTCGAACATCAAATAGCCTAATAAACCTAGTAGATTCTTTCTGTCCTCCGTTATGCAAAAAGTAGTTTAGTGATAAAGTATAACTTCTGTCTTCGAACTTTCAAAATACCCTAGCAGACATAAATTCGGTTTGCCCTAGGACGCGAAACAAATTGTTAACTGTCATGAATTCTGTCTAATCCTAGAAATTAGCGAACATTAATTCCTTTTGTCCTCGGACATTAGATAAAATAAATAGTTTAATCAAGAAACATTAATTTCTTCTGACCTAAAACATCCGATAAATAGTTACGGAAATCCGATAAACAGTTTCAGGAACATACATTTCTTCTGTCCCCGGACTTCGAAAAATAGTTAAGAAAACATAATTCCTGCTGCCCTCGAACATTTGACAAATAGTGTTATGGAACATAAATTCCTTATGTCCACGGAAAACCGATAAACGGTTTATGGAACATTAATTCTTCTGTCCTTGGACTTCGGCAAATGGTTTAGAGAAAATTATTCCTGCTGTCCTCGAACATTTGACAAATAGGTAGTTTAGAGAACATAAATTCCTTCTTTTATCGACATTTGAAATTAGTTTATGGAACATTAATTCCTGCTGTCCTCGGACATTCGACAAATAATTTATGGAACATAAATTCTTTCCGTCCTTGGACATTCGATAAATAGTTTATAGAACATAAATTCCTTTCTTCCTCGGACATTCGATAAATAGTTTATGGAACATAAATTCCTTCTGTCCTTGGACATTCGATAAAAGGTTTATTGGACATGAATTCCTTCTGTCTTCGGACATTCGACCAATAATTTATGGAACATAAATTCCTTCCGTCCTCGGACATTTGATAAATAGTTTATAGAACAGAAATTCCTTTTGTCCTCAGACATTCGATAAAACGTTTATGGAACATGAATTCCTTCTGTCCGAGGACATTTGACAAATAATTTATGGAACATAAATTCCTTCCGTCCTTAGCATTCGATAAATAGTTCAGGGTACATAAATTCCTCCCGTGCTTGGACATTCGATAATTAGCTTGTTCAGGGTACATAAATTCCTTTTGTCTACGGACATTCGACAAATAGTTTAATTAACATAAATTTCTTCTGTCCTCGGACATTATATTTAGATAAATAGTTTAAGGAACATTAATTTCTTCTTTCCCATTTTTTATTCTAGGAGTCCAAAAACAGGGCGGGGGGATTTTTATCGAAAAAATGAGAATTTATTACATTTGTTGATCTTTTTCCTTCTTTCTCTATGTAAAATTTTCCCCCTGCCTCTGAAAAAATAGGGAGGAATTCTCAAAAATATGAGTGAATCCTCCCACCCCCTCCTAGAATAGACACTGCTTTCCTCGGACATTAAATAAATAGTTTAAGGAACATTAATGTCTTCTGTCCTCAAACATTCGATAAAAAGTAACGGAACATAAATCATTTCTGTCCTCTAAAAACCGAGGAACAGTTTAAGGAACATACATTTCTTCTGTCATCGTACTTCGGCAAATAGTAAAGAACATAATTCCTGCTGTCCTCGGACATTTGAAAAATAGTTTATGGAACATAAATTTCTTCTGTCCTCGGACTTCGGCAAATAGTTTAGAAAACATAATTCCTGCTGCCCTCGGACATTTGACAAATAGTTAAGAGAACATAGATTCCTTCTGTAATCGGTTATTAGACAAATAGTTTAGGGAAAATAAATTCTTTCTGTCCTGGTACATTAGACATATAGTTTAGCGAACATAGTTTCCTGCTGTCCTTGGACATTTGACAAATAATTTATATAACATATATTTCTTCTGTCCTTGGACATTCGACAAATAATTCATGGAACATAAATTCTTTTCTTCCTCGGACGTTCGGCAAATAATTAATGGAACATAAATTCCTTCTGTCCTTGGACATTCGATAAGTAGTTTATGGAACATAAACTCCTTTCTGTCCTCGGACAGTCGACAAATAATTCATGGAACATATATTGCTTCTTTCCATGGACATTCGATAAATAGTTTATAGAACATAAATTCCTTCCGTCCTTAGACATAAGATAAATAGTTTAAGGAACTTCTTTCTTCTTTCTTCGAACATCCGATGAATAGTAATGGGAACATAAATCGCATCTGTTTAGGAAATCTGATAAACGGTTTAAAGAACATACATTAATTCTGTCCACATAGTTTAGGGAACATTATTTCTTTTGTCCTCGTACATTCGACAAAAGGTTTATGGAACATAAATTCCTGCTGTCTTTGGAAATTTGACAAATAGTTTAGAGAACATGAAATTCCTTCTGTCCTCGTACATTCGAAAGAGTAGGGCAAAGACTTATCTTTATTTTAAACATTGCATTATTTTCTAAATCAGTAGTAACTTCACAAATATACATGTATAGTTCACCGAAATAATATTCAGTTTAAGCGCTTGAGTTTAAACTCTTTATTTTTACACTATACGTCACAGTATTTTTGCAATGACCTGTATATTTGGCTCCTCCTCCTAACAAGTCATTCAATCTGGTTCGCGCATGCTTAGTAGACTGGGTACCGAGCACGCTTCTGCAAATTCCTTTTCGATCCAGTCTCCGAGCTCCAGAAGCTGCCGTGAACTAACACGGAAAAATACCCACCGCCCTTCCAATTTGCTTTGCTGTTGTCTCTTTTTTCTGTTTTCAGGTAATAATGACCGCCGCGATACTTAGCCCTTCTTCGTCATGGCTGGAATTATCATTTCAACAGTCAATATTTGTTTTGCGACATCCGGAAATTTACCAACGTCGACTGCCAGACCCCTATCATTTGAATCCGACGTCGGTTCAAAATTTACATTTAACTGGCCTGTACATAACCATAAACATTTCGAACACCTGTGGGATGCAACTGACTTTCGGATATTTGTAGAATAGTCATTAGATAACCTGTAACCGATGTCGGTACAAAACAAAACACTGTTAATTAACTTAACCTATGTGTAAATAAAACACATATTGTCTTTAAAAAAGTATTGATATAATGGTTATTATCATATCATTACATTGTTATATCCATGGTTTCAAGCAAGTTTACTTACATTATATATCACACTACTATTTAATTAAAATAATATTTTTCTTATAAAGAACGTTTCTCTTTATTGAGCTGTATGTATTTTGTATTTTATATGTTTACTGGCATATCTGAGCAGGTCCGTTGTTCTATATTCCGAGGAATAGTCTGAGGAGGTTTCCTCCGTGCATGCCAACGGATGCTACGGTTCCTCTTAAAAAAGGGGTTTTACGTAGGCGGCCAGTATTCCTAAGACGAATATACGATCAAACCTGTTGAGTAATTGTTCTGGTTTGGAATGTCCTAGACATTCTATGGCAGTTTTGATCGTGATATGCTTGATAAATGTATTTATATATACAAATGGCTGTATCAGTCTTTTCAAAATTTAACTAATTTTTATTGATAATATTTATAAAACATATTTTCGGATATCAAGTGTTTATCATATCTGGCATTGTCAGCACATTGTCTCTTTTTCGAAACATAATTTTAATTGATTATATCTGAATAAACATATTAAGCTACCGAAGCATATATAAGCAATATATAAAATGTCACTTCCGACTGTTAGGATATGAGTATTAGTCATATAATATTATAATTGATATACATGTAATTGTTAATATTATTCTATAACAGATTGTCTGGAATATTTAATGATCTTATTCAGCCGTCGATATGGCGAAAATCTAACATAAAATTACAGGTTTTTGCAATCGATGACGAAGCAAAACCTATTTTATAATATTCTATTTTATATAAAGGTTCAAACTCTATTAACTTTATGTTACTTAATGACCAGTCATGACGGAAATTTTATGCCAACCATAAATAAAATAAGTTAAACATATATGTTGCATTTATTATCATTTGTTCCTTTAAAGTGACTATGTTGGAAAAATAATTTTATATACAATAAAAATGTGTTGACCGAAATGATTTTGATATGCGTGTTTTTACTTCATACTAAATCAATGTTTAATTCCTTATTGTATGAACTTGAGACTGTCTATCTATGATGAATTATACTTGAAAATAACAAAATAACAAAATTAAAACTTGATTTAAGCTTAACAAATTAATATATATAGAAAGCTTATGCATCAGTACAGAGATTTTGTTCAGTTCTTAATGATTTATTTTCACTTTTCTGTTCATTGTATTGTATATGTATGCATGATTTATAAAAGGTACAGGCAGCACTCATTTTTTTAACAAATTGACCTGGTATATACATATAATGTACTATTTTATGTATATTAACAGACTAAGTTTATAATTAACAGTATATAAACTTTTTTCTTCAAATTGATAAATACACTGCATTGAAAAACAATATGCATAAATGTAAGTTCTCATAGATTTGTTTTCTTCCAAGTTATAGTTTTGCATGTTATCACTTTAAATGACTCACAATCATCCGTCATTTTATAAATGGAAAGAATTTGAAAAATGGGACGTCTTAATGTCCGCTTCAACTTAATATTCCATTGTCTCTATGGTAATGAATTAATTTCCATTTCCTTTACTTAACACCATTTTTAATGGTTTAAAAAATTTAATGTTTTATTTGTTTTATTTAAGATTATAAACACACTTTTGTTAACTTCCTTTTTCCTGCTTCTTTTCTATAGCTTTCGATTTTAATGCAACTTCACCATATATATTACCACTCAAATCCTTTGGAGAAACTATAACAGAATTTTGCTTTCCATAATTTGTCACATCATACACATTTTCTTCTTGATTAGAACTGCCAAGTCTATCTTTTTGGGGTACTATAGTTACGTGATTATATGCATTTCCAGTGTACTTTTTAGGCATTTCGTTCGATTTTTGTAGTACGTCATATTCATTTTCTCCTATTGACTGTCTTTGTCGCGCTTTTTTGAGAGCGTCTTCCGGTATCGCGTATTCGGAAGTATCAGCCGTCTCGTAGACGCTTGTTTCTTTCATCACGATCGAGTCGGCGGTCTCTGAATAACCTTCCACCAAATGCGCCGAATTTCTTTTGTTTTCTGCTTTACGCCTGTAACGGAATATTCGATTTTACTTAAAAATATCATTTATAAGTTATGTCATTAATATGATTGATTTTTATCTATTAAATTTTCATTCATATTCATTTCTTTATTTATTATGTTTCTATTACGTTCATCCTGGCCAGGCAAAACAATAGGCATCGTGTTATTTGTTTCGTCCTTCCACGCGTATTTGGCCGCCAAATATACCATAAAATGGTGAATTTTAGTTATGACATATTTTACTTGACAAATGTTTTTTTTATATTTGGCTATAATAACATCAGCTTGTTTGCAATTTCAAGGGAGATTAAAACTATCGAGAGTGTAGTCATACAATTTATCGGTAACAAAGTCACCAAGTTTAATTACTTAGAAACATCATTCATTAATTATTCTTTAAATGTACGTGCATGAAGCTTAGTATTGAGCTGTTAGTCATAAACGATAACATATTAACAACTGAAATGGAATCATTTCATAGATTAAGGAAATGCAGCAAAGGAATGACATAATATATATATAGTGCCGGCAAACTATAAGTTAACTCAGGTAAAACAAGTAACAAGGCACTTATTTTATCGTATCTTAAAACTGTGATTAAAAAAAACCAAATGTTTTGTTACGTAAAAAATGGAGACAAAAATAAATTTTACATTGCTTTTTCATCATATTTCCTTTCCGTGGTTATCTAACTGACTTCAAACCACTGTTCATCATGTATGTATAACAGGTTCGAATACATGAGGGAATGACGGACTTAAATTTGTAAGGAACGTATCTAGCTTGTACACGAAGGTGCGTCCAATGTCTTCAACCAAAGACCTTCATAGAGTCGGTGTGATTTAGAACCAAACCAAAAATATACCCCACCCACCTCCAAAAAACAAAAATTAAAGTAATTTAATTAATGTATCTGTAAATATATGTCAGTATCGTAACTATGGCCCAAGTTTAAAGAAAAGTCATGGATGATAATTTTCTGTTATACCACCTACCTATATATTCTACAACAACAGCACACTGCTATCAGACACAGCACTAGACATATTACAGAGCCTACAGCAATCAACGCGTATCTTACATCAAGATCCATCCATATATCTGAAACACGAATTGTCAGAAACTGTCAATGTGAGAAAAATGCCTCTCTGTATATAAAACAACAATTATAATGGTTTGTTAATGCTTTAAAACATAGAGAAACCAACAAATAATATTATATCTTTAATTTAAAAGTAAAAATGACAGAGAGCTATTATTGACTCTATCTTAATCCATTGAAAAGTCGCAACACTTTGAAATCAGTTTGGATGGGAAAAATCAAACGAAAAATTGTGATTTTTGGCAATTTTGAGATGTCCCCTCGTTGCCAGGTAACAGGAAATTATGTTGAATTTATAGTTTCATAGCAATCTGAACTTTTAACAAGAGGCTTTTTAATTTTCACAAAATGCTCATGCTGTAATGGTTTAAAATGATAGGTATATTTTGAAATATTTATAGCAGTATAGAAAGAACAACCAGCATTTTAAAATGTTTAAATAAATATTTTACTATGAGTTTAGAGATACTACTTATGTGTTACTCCACTGAGGTTCATACACATGACTGGACTGGGAATTATTTTTTGAGGTTAATGTTCCACTTGATGAAAGTCTAGACCTGTTCTTGTGTACAAAATTTCACAGTTTCACAGAAATACGATTTACAATTTATTACTTAGTACATTTCGTAATTATCTTTGCATGTCTATGAAAGAAATGGTATGATTTTAGAATTTTGAGCCTGAGTGGAGTTCCTTAAAAGCTAGGTTAGAACTACGAAGATTTTATGCAAGTTAGACATGCGATTTGTTACAAATGTTAAGGTATATTCATGCTCCATAATTGCTGTAAAACGAAAAGGCCACGCAATGTAAACAAGAAACAAAAATTGTCCAAAAAAAGCGATGAGGTTTAGACGGGTTATATTTCATACCTTGGTAAACTGGTACTTGATAAGTAGAACTTTTAACAGTGGTGAACTGATTTGTGTTGTTTAAATCTTGTTTACTTGGTGAACCTGAAGACTTACTCGAGGAAAGCCTTGTTGTTGCGGATGATTTATATTCTCGTATCTTCTGTTGCTTTACATATTGAATAACAGGTTGAGTATTACCTTCAATGTAAGTAATATATATGTCATAGCTAGATAATAACCGAAACAGCTGCCACAGACTCTAACAAGCAATTGCAATAGTGTTCTTTAACGTATACGATATCAAATGAGGTTTGGGGTTTGGGGTTTGTTTCAGTTAGATAAAAATAACTTCTGTGTCTTGACTAGAAAGTCAATGAGATGATTTTGAATAGAAAGTACATTGTAGATGGGAAATAGAAGGTGAAAAGATCATAGACGGGGACATTGGTCTACTTGACTTAACTAGATCGAAAACAAGAAAGTTGATGGTCTTGAATTGACAAAGACTACATACTAAATACTACTAGTGAATTAGCTAATGGCATTGACACGATAGCAAATAAGAATGTGGGTCTTGATCAAAAAGATAATGGGACAATAGGTCTTGTCTGGAAAGAAATAAAGATGATGGATATTGGAGAGACATATATCAAGGTATCAAAAATTGGATAGTGACCTATGCCTGGATTTTTATAAGGAGAAAGTGAGTCGGTTTTTACGGTCTTATATAAACTGAGAATGAGATATTTGACTTGAAAAGAGATCAAATGAAGAAAATAAAATAGTGAAGTCTTGGCCAGATTTAAAACGAGATAAGGAGTCTCGACTGAAATGAAAATGAGGAAGTGGGTCTATACAATTAAATTAATATATTTTATATAAGAAAACATGGTATATATATGTAATGATGAGTCGTGTATGTATAACCTCCTAGTAGAAATCTTGATAAAAATTTTCGTTTTCTAAAATGTAAATATAAGATGATAAGATCACGAATGATTTAATTCATTATTTCCGGACTTTTATAATTGTTAAGTGCATTATACCGATAAACAAATTAGAAACTATTGATAAACAATAAAGATAAACATATAGATACAACTTACATGATATAGAAATGTCATGCTGATTCATTGACTTTCTAAAGAATTTACATCACTAAATGTTTATCAATACATTTTAAGGTAGATCCTACTTTGAAAAATATTACTTCTTCTGAATTTTCTGAAACCTATTAATGAATTATCTTAGGGATAACTGAATATAAAGCACCGCCTTACCTTGGATACAAAGTGTTCTGTGTGTTTTAGTACAGTCCTCCGTCCGAAGTCCATTTAGTTCCCATAGTAAACAACGAACCGTCAGATTATTTCTTTCTTAAATATAATTAACATTTATTTTTTTCATTAAAGAAAAAAACGTGATTTATAAACATATTTCCCTTTCTAAACTGCAGATAAACATTTGCATATATTACTTCAGATTTATCAAGTGGACGAAACATGTACTTAAAATATATATGCATGAATGAAAGATGACAAATTATCAATTAGTGTTAGCTGAGATCATAATTAACCTCGGGTTATATATATGAATTTGATGATCGATTATATAATTGTATGTCAGCATGTATATATTCATTATAACACTGAATGATGTCAGATATGTACCTCGTACCAGCAATTTGGGGTAGCTTGTCAAGATTTTTAAATATGGCTCGTCATTACATGTACTTTAAACATAAATATAAAGAGGATATTGAATGATTGTTGGTTCAATACTGTATTTATTGATCGAGTTGAATAAAAATATATTATTCGATACATTGGCGGATGATATTGTTTTATTCAACCAGTTCAACAAATTTTGTAATGAAACTACATGGATATAATAATCTATTTATCACATATCCAAAATAAGAACTGTTTACGTTAATTATAGTGTAACGCTTACATTTTGCGCGTCTTAACGCTATGTCTGTTTAACGCAAATGACGCCACGTCAATATATATTCAAGGCGTGCAATACCAATTTTTACGGAGCCGAAAAAGCGGCATGGGTATGTGGTCAAACCCGGTACATCAGTGTTTCAAAAGTTTCATACTAATGCTCTTTCTTTACACCTTAATTTGTACATAAAGTATAAGGTAAATAAGCTCAATAATTCAATTTCCAAATAAACTAAATTAAACACACTTATAAAGATATAATTATATTTTATATTTACCATTGAAGAAGTCTGTTATGTTTAGAACGTTGGCCCAAATTGTCGCATTTATATAAATTTTCTGGGCAAATTTATCAATTGACAGTGGAGTTATTTTACTTAATGTCAAATTCTTGTCATCTTCCCGACACTTTTCTTTTGCATACACTAAAGACTGGTTGGTTATGAATAGTTCTGTAAAAGAAAGGTAAAACATATTACACATTTTTGTTATATTTTCTTTCCAAAATGAGCAATTATTTCAAACGGGACAAAACTATATCTAATTTAAAAATCGTAAATATAATAAAAAGCTGGACCAATTGTCTGATGGTATTTGAGGTAATACATTATAAAATAGCACTGTAGATTAAAATATTATTGAATGAATGTTCAGTTAAATGTTTAGTTACAAGGCAATGGATGATATTCTAAAAGATTTTGTGGGGAAGTTATGTCCTTTTTTACTATAATCTTTGTAAGAAAATGTCTTCAGAGAAATTGATCCCATGTTACAAATCTTTAAGTATTTAACACTACTATATACATGTAGATACCGTGGTTTATTTCTAGCTACACGTACCTTCACCATGAATATTTGAACAATTGATAGAGTTGTAATATTTTGAAACCTCATTACTCTGTATGCGTACAATCTGTCCTGCAAATAATATAAAACACATAAATATAAGAAAATAAAGTATATTTAATTTTTTTTAACAGATCAATTAATATAAAGTACTGCCTAATTAATGAGGCATAAAGTTATTTGAGGCAAGAGAAATCTCTGGACATATGTGTAAACTATGTATTTGGGATTGCACACTAAGAAGGAAACTAATGATGACATTTTTATACTAGTATGATATGACATGAGAGCCGACCTGCGACCTCAAATAGCTAGTACAATTGTAATTGGCGGTTTTTTGTTGTTCACCCTGTCCATCACGGTTGTAAGCCACTGTGAAGTCAACTGAACACGGTTCTGTCCCGCGTCGTTTCTGGGAAGGCAGTTTACCGATACTAGTGCCTTCACTTTCGTAAGGGACTGAGATAACTACTGCAAATGCCTGAGCAGGGATACAGTGCGAATGACCGAAGAAAGTATTTCATGATCAAATACAACTACATGTACAGTGACCTGGACCGTCCGGGAATCGAACCCAGGTTGTCCGATTCTTAGTCCAATACTCTAATAATTGAGCTAACCGGACGGCTTGTCTAGTAATTTGACAAGCGTAACGATAAGTTTGATATTGCTTATTGTCCGTATATGATCCTATTGATTTTGAGGTCATTAGGTCAAGGTCACAGTGACCCTTTATGTAAAATGTTTGTCTTATCAATAACGTGAGTTCCCTAAATCATAAGTTTGTGAAGAAGATTAGCTTATAAATTACATAACGCAATACCATCACAAAATATACACAAGTATTTAAACAGGCAAGTGGAGACATAAGTATGGAAGGGCATTAGTGCCAGGTGTATGTTTTTTATTAACTCGAAATTTCGAGTTACTAACTCGAAATTCCGAGTTACTTACTCGAAATTTCAAATGACTTATCTCGAAATGTCGAGTAACTTACCTCGAAATTTCGACTTACTCGAAATTTCGACTTACTTACTCGAAATTTAAAGTTAATTAACTCGAAATTTCGACTTACTTACCCAAACTTTCGACTTTGTAACTCGAAATTTCGACTTACATTGGTTGTTGGTGAAAGCAAGGATTGAATTCAAGATACTTTCTTTCATGTTTAGCTGTTGCACATTGACAGAGCACCTATGTATTTAACAGAACAATTTGATAGGGTCAAATTGTCCACACAGACCGAACATATCCTTCCCATTTTCTTGATTGCTGTGGGGGGGGGGGTGTAAAATCACACTTTCCATATTTCCGTGTTAACCGGATGTTTCTTATGTCTAAAGGACACATACAACCATCATGTGGAGATACAACAAGTCCAAAACCCACCCTATTGTAAACTGTTAACTAAGTTTTAAGTGGCGTGTATACGCCAGTTATTCTGTCACGTTTCTTTATACTAATCATGTTTTTGTAACATTTTTTTAAAAGATGTTCGTCAATATTCTTTATAAATTTATTTACTAAGACTTTGATTCATATTGTGTTGATAAAGTTGATAAAAGTGGAACTTGTTGTTATATACATGTTGGGAATAATATTAAAGCATCCGATTTTACAAGAAATATAGTCAGTCCAACAAATTTGACAAAGGCCTCAGCACGCCTTGTTTTGGCCACTCCGCGGTACTTTCCTCAGATGTCCCACGCGTGAAGTATAGGATCGTTTTATTTACAGGGATGAGAAGAATCTGATTAGTGAAAAGATATGTTCGAACAGGTGGGATACAATATAACGTCTGAAGAACGCCTGAACTACAAATTAAAGGAAGCCTTGTGTTTTTTTTAGGTCGGGCGTGTACATGCCATTGTCAAAAGTGACCATTCTAATAAATTTAAGTTTAACTTTAATAGTTTGTCCAGGCACCCTTTTCCCCATCTACATCATTCAACCACACTCCCTACTATATCTTATATTATCTTAACTCTTTGTAACTCATAACTTTGGTCATTCTAGTAATGTAACTTAGTCGAAATTTCGAGTTACTAAGTGGAAATTTCGAGTTACTAAGTCAAATTTTCGAGTAACTAAGTCGAAATTTCGAGATAAGTAACTCGAAATTTCGAGTAAGTATGTCGAAATTTCGAGTAAGTAAGTCGAAATTTCAAGTAAATAACTCGAAACTTCGAGAAAGGTAACCATTAAGTTAGTTGAAATTTCGAGTTACTCAGTCGAAATTTCGAGATAAGTAACTCGAAATTTTGAGTAAATATGTCGAAATTTCGAGTTAGTAAGTCAAAATTTCGGGTTAGTAACTTGAAATTTCGAGATAGGTAACTCAAAATTTCGTGTTAGTAAGTCGAAATTTTGAGTTACAAAGTCGAAATTTCAAGATAAGAAACTCGAAATTTGGAGTTGGTAACTCGAAATTTCGAGTTAGTTAGTCAAAATTTCGAGTTAGTATCTCGAAATTTCGAGTAACTATCTCGAAATTTCGAGTTAGTATGTCGAAATTTCGAGTTAGTAAGTCAAAATTTCGAGTTAGTAACTCGAAATTTCGAGTTGATGAAAAACACACACTTGGCACTAATGCTCTTCCGTACATAAGTGTCCTATGGACACATTTCTGGTTTATTTTATTTAACTATAGATATTATGGTGAAAGAAATTATACTTTCCGATATTTCTGATAAAAATAAATATTATTGAACACGTACCTGATACTAGTACTATTTCAAACGCATATATCCAAACAGGTAAATGATCGTCAATATCAAACGTGGTGTCAAGTTTACTTATGTCGCTGATATCATAGGCAGAGGCCATCGTCAAATTGTGGATGTTCATACAACTATTATAACCATTCATCCATGTGCTGGGGTCAAGAATCCTGTATAAGTCAGACGAATTTCCCTGTACACCTGGTGTAGTTTCATTCTTTGCTGTAAATATACGATATCACTTAACAAATATTTTTTTCTTGTCCAGTGTTCATTAAAGCTGCATGCCTCCAATTTCAAGAAAATCAACCTTAAATAAAATATCCTAAGAGTTTAAGAAACGTAAAAATGATTCAAGACTTAAGTTATAATTCACATGTTATGACTAATTTTGCAATATTTATCATCATATTTTTTTACTGCGTTACTAACGCAGTAAGGGCTATTTTCGCATATTTTGACCTCTTTTTGTAATTTACGTGGATTGTACCAGCCGTTTGCAATGTGTATATTACTTTCTTTGTTCACTTCATTATATATAACTGTTAAATAATTTTTCAGAATTTTCATGATAATTTGAATAAATCTGGAGGCATGCTGCTTTAAGGTATTATGCCCCTTAAATGAAAATTAATAGTTTTTGTTTTTCGGGATAATTTTTAAATAAGCAGCCTTTTTTAAAAAATAATTTAAATGCATATACATTTTAAGCATGTGTGTCATAAACTTACATTTAAAGTGTCGTCAAGTATCGTTTCTTGTCTCTTTTCACGAATGTCCTTAGAAAGTTTATGAGTGGTAGTTTCACATGGGAACAAATAGCAGATATCAGTAACTTATCTTTATTTATCATGCATCACATTTTTATAATTGAGCCGCGTCACGACAAAACCAACATAGTGCGTTTGCGACCAGCATGGATCCAGACCAGCCTGCGCATCCGCGCAGTCTGATCAGGATCCATGCTGTTCGCTATCAGTTTCTCTACTTATAAAAAGGTTGATAAGCGAACAGCATGGATCCTGATCAGATTGCGCGGATGCGCAGGCTGGTCTGGATACATGCTGTTCGCAAACGCACTATGTTTTTTTTTGTTCGTCGCTGATTGAAAATAAAGTTCTAAACATCACTGACAATGCATAACGATGACATAATTCATCATGTCTTGCATTTAAGGAAAAATAGAATAAACTTAATAGCCTTCATAACAGGATATATACTTATCAACATATTTATTATTTGGAGGACTTTCCGTTATCAATTAAATATATGTCCATGAAACAAATCCTAACTTCCGAATGTATTTCTTAAACAAACGAACATTACAGTTTTCTTTACATAAAAAAGTTATATAAAGTCTTCATATCGCCATTAAATAAGAAATCAAAAAAGAATTTGCGGTAGTGTCATAAATTCGATGTAGAATATTTAAGGCAGAATACATCAGTCGCACAAGATCTTTAAATCATCGCCAACTTTGCATTTCCCTTTCTTATACATGTATATATGGCATTAAGTCGATACCCCTCCTACCAATAAACCCTTTCCGTATAAAAGTAACCCTGCACAACAACTTGAACCATATAGATTTATAAGAATCTCAAGAATAATGAGTGGCATCTTTTGTTGGGTAGCCCATTGAGGTGGTGGGCGGGAAGGGAAGGGAATGGGGATAAAGGTCTTTTTGCAACTTTGCAGCCTTACTTATCAAGAGCAGGTACCTGAGTAGAACGACCGACCTTTCAGGACTCGATTCTACAACTTTGATCGTCAAATGATTTAACGTTAGTTACCTTTAACCATCCGGCTACGAAAAACCAATCTTTTTTTCTTATCTTTTGTTTAATTTAAAATGTAATTGGTAAGAATGATTTCTTCTTGTAAATACATGGAATATATGCCAATTTCTGGAAAGCTTTCTCATCACTACATGCAACCGTATCTGATACAGAATTACTTCTGCTTTTTTACGTACTTGGAAACATTTCAAAAACGAGCGTTAAATAAACATTAATTCTACAGCTGTTTAAGAGTTTTGTTCTGATTCTTTAAAAGAAGTATACATTGTCTATATCAATAAATGATGTGGTTTTATATTTGAATATAAAACTCTGGTATGCGAGTGAACCAGTGAAACGATGTCAATATTTATAGCATTTTACCTGGAAGATATGTTTAGCCCCTGTGTACCTTTGATGGCAAGGATCGGAGTTTTACGGGTTTTTTTCCAAAACAAATTCATTGATGAAAGATAATATTATCTGATATAGAATGGGAGTGACGACTATATTGAATTAATCTTATATTTGTTTATATACTGTAGTATGTAACTAGGATGTGAACTTATCTCATCATTTAATGCTGGATAGGTAATATTTTTATGTAATAATCATGGGTTTTCCAGGTACAGATGTATGGAAATTCGATCATATTTTTCTATCTTTTCTGTATACAATGAATGCTGTACCAGATTTTCTAGAGACTTTGTAACAATATGACTAACCAGTTAAAAATATAACGTTTCATGTATTATTTTGATGAGATTTTAGGACATACATACATCGTGTATCTGCTTCTGTCTAATGGCTATTTAATTAAAAAAGGTTTGACATAGATATCAAGAATGATATTCTACATAAAGTATTTGCATGTCTCTCCTAGAAATTTAAAGAATTCCTAACTCACGTTTGCCATAAATGTAAATGCATTTCCTAACATTGTTATATTATATATAAGGAATATACATTTTGACGTGCTACAGCTAGATTCTGATATATTTTTGTTCAAGGAGGTATTGTCCATACACAAAAACACACAGTATCTCAAACGCGTAGAACAATTAGTTTGACCAATATAAGGAAATACTATGTTAAAAACTGGAGTTAAAATCTTACCATTACAATACTCGTTGAGAATCGTAGAAATAAGTAGAGCATATAATGACGTATAACACACTCGGAATACTTTGGTCACTCGATTTCCTTGGTGTTTATCCATTGTATATAGCACCTGCTAATGACGCGGAAAATGACGTTGAAATTGAAAACGACGTAGAAAATAAATTAATCCTCACAATTGCTATACTGTTGAACACACGGACAATTAAAGGATATAGTATGATTTCTTTTAACTTCCGATAATATCATGTCCTCCTTTATTAAATCTATTTTGGTGGAATAGTTCTATTTCTTGATGTAATCTTCATATGGAAACGCGCAATTTATGACCAACATAATTTGTCTACATGGCACTATTTTCTTATTTATACAATAAATATAAAAACAACGTTTATACAGATTGTTCCTCAAAAGTGTTGTCAAATACAAATAATAGCCGGCGATTATATCCGAATTATAAAGAATAATGAATGTATATTTTGTCATCAATCACATGAGCTGTATTAACACCATCTATATGTTTGTAGAGAAACAATACTCATTTCCTGTTGCTGTGTTATATTACTGTATATTATACATCATTTCATATCACGTGCTTTGCTAAAATAAATTATACACCCCATAGTCATGTATATAGACCAATATATATGTAATCAAACCAGTGTTGCTGTTTTTTGTTTGTTTTTTGTTATTATTGCGGCATATATGTTAAAACATGAATATATCTTCCGAAGTCCGTATAATATAGTCGTTGTGCGGTTGATATTCATGAAGTAATTTCTTCTGTTTTAGTATTCACATTCATACTTTATTATGTATTTACACACCAATTAGCTCCGTTTATTGCTTATTATTATGATCGTTAAAACTATACTAATGCGGCGTTCTGACACAATATCCATGCACGAACAAAACACATCCTCATATCGACAAAGTATACGCATTTGTTTAGGTCAATTTCAAATAAACCACCTTATCACTAATTTTGGAACGAATGAATACTCCAGAATTGAATACATTCCAGGTATATGTAAACATATTACACACAAGTCAGCTTTCCTTTCTGTATAGGTAACATCCAAAATAATTTTCACCGGAAATTAACGTACTCTATAAAAAATATTTTTTATATGTTCATACTAAACGCATTACGCTATGTTAATAAGCAGGTTAATCTGAAATATCTGAAAGCTCAATCTTTAGAGAAACTTACACTTCATTTAAAAGTACATATGTTTAAGATAAGATATGAGGGTACATTTTGTTCATGTAAAGTGCAACTTTTATCTTTATACCACAAAACAAGAAGTATATATAACAACCCTAACTACAGCATGTAGCAGTTGGTAAGTGTGTTATTTACACGCCTGTAACGCTTAGTAAGTGAATATATGTCCGTGAATTATCTCAAAACTGGAAGCCTCTATTTCCTGAGTTATTTATTATAATTGATGTAAGTAGCATGTAAGTGGTTTATAAACAATTTTTAGAATTACTGCATAGCATATTCATAAAGTACAAAATATAACATTAACAAATGTGTTCAGTGGTAGTTAAGTTCCCTTTCGAAATAAGAAATAATTGTTGTACTATAGGCATTTCCGCACAAAAATAATGCCTATATACATCAATAGATCTATGCAGTAAAATTATAGTTAAGGAGTAGAATTAAACTCCCCGCAAAACTAAAATAATTAATGATATCACAAGTAAAACTTTAATAGATGTATTAAAAACTAACGGAGCACATTATTTTCTACGAACAACTGTAATATTCTGGTTTATATGAGGAAAATGATATCATTTCGGTTAAAAATACATAATTACAGATAATATATGATATCTATAATTACAGAGAAAAGTGTTATACAATAACAGCTAGTTATGTATAAACAGCTTCTTACATGGGAAAGGTGTTTTATAGTAACAGACATTTTAGAGAAAATGATTATATAGATAATTTCAGAGAAAAGGGGTTATATAATACAAGAAATTTCAGAGAAAAAGGGTTATTTAATAACAAATAAGAAAAAAATATATGCATTTAATGAGTAAAAGTATTATAATGTCAGAGAAAAGGCGATATAAAGTATGAAAAAAGAGGTAAACTATTTTCTTGGGAAAATAGTAATTTAAGAAAAAAAGTGTTTAAATTCAATAGTAATACATGTATAATTAAAAATGCAATATTTTATATTTCGGGAGAAAGCAAGTGTTAATATTTCGAGAGAAAACAAAGTGTACATGTATATGATTATTTTACAATGACTCATACTGGAGTCATAACATCATACAATAGTTAGTTTTAAACGAATTATCACCGGGTCAAATGTTAAAGGGACTTTTTTGACATGATGGGACTAAAAATATTTTTTCCAGATAAATGTACCATTTGATGTAGGTTTAGACTACTAATCTTTGTGCAAAATTTCAAATCATTCGCACACTCCGTTTTTCCAGAATAATTATTCAAATTATAAAAAATGACCCAAAATGAAAAGCGTTTAAACACTTTTCACTCAAATTGGGCTAAGAAAATAAAAAATAAGATTTTCAATTTATTTCAAAGTATATTTCTTAACTATTTTTGCATATATTTCTGTTTAAAGTGTCCCAGCTCATTTATGTAAGAAATTCAAATGCTATGTTTTTAGGCTTTTAAACCTCAGTGGAGTCCCTTTAAAATAATTCCATAAGAAAATATGTGCGAGCATACGGACATTCAAATTCACTATTAAAATCATCATCCTTTTCATTTAGTATAAAATCATAAAATACACATATAAATATTTCATATAAACATGTGTATCTAATCTTGGACTCATACCCTTAGATAGCTGCAAGTCAATAAACGACAGATAAATTAAATATCAAGACATTGCAGGTGTTCACTTACACGTAAATACTCGAAAGTAAACGTTGCACTCAGAAACTTCCACTAATTTTATTCAGCCTTGGTTGGAAGAAACTTCTGTAGATATATATAGGATCTCACGTGCAGTGTGGATAAATTCATATGTTTAGTTTTTGAGTTGCAGGAACTTACATATCAGATGAAAAGTTGAGTCATGTGCAGTTTCCGTGTTGCAGGAACTTTCATGTCAGGTGTAGAAGTTAGGTCATGTACAGTTTCCGTGTTGCAGGAACTTACATGTCAGGTGTAGAAATTAGGTCATGTACAGTTTCCGTGTTGCAGGAACTTACATGTCAGGTGTAGAAGTTAGTTCATGTACAGTTTCCGTGTTGCAGGAACTTACAAGTCAGGTGTAGAAGTTAGGTCATGTACAGTTTCCGTGTTGCAGGAACTTACATGTCAGGTGTAGAAGTTAGTTCATGTACAGTTTCCGTGTTGCAGGAACTTACATGTCAGGTGAAGAAGTTAGGTCATGTTCAGTTTCCGTGTTGCAGGAACTTACATGTTAGACGAAGAAGTTGAGTCACGTACAGTTTCCGTGTTGCAGGAACTTATATTTCACGTGAACAAGTTGAGTCATGTACAGTTTCCGTGTTGCAGGAACTTACATGTCAGGTGTAGAAGTTAGTTCATGTACAGTTTCCGTGTTGCAGGAACTTACATGTCAGGTGTAGAAGTTAGGTCATGTACAGTTTCCGTGTTGCAGGAACTTACATGTCAGGTGTAGAAGTTAGGTCATGTACAGTTTCCGTGTTGCAGGAACTTACATGTCAGGTGTAGAAGTTAGGTCATGTACAGTTTCCGTGTTGCAGGAACTTACATGTCAGGTGTAGAAGTTAGTTCATGTACAGTTTCCGTAAAGCCGGAGCTTACATGTCAGGTGTAGAAGTTAGTTCATTTACAGTTTCCGTAAAGCCGGAGCTTACATGTCAGATTGATAAGTTGAGTAATGTACAGTTTCTGTGTAGCTAGAGCTTACATGTCAGATTGATAAGTGGAGTAATGTACAGTTTCCCTGTAGCTGGACCTTACATGTCAGATGGATAAGTTGAATCATGTACAGTCTCCGTGTTGCAGAAACTTACATTTCGTATGGCAGAAACATGGCTGTATCTTGTGTGTCTGTTATCGTCGCTATACGAGAAAGCTATTAAAAATGTTAGTCGTTATTCATATTAAACAAGAAACCGAGTACTGAAGAATGTTTAACAATATGAAAAAAAAAATATATTCATTTGCGATATGATTTAATATAAACAATAAGATCGGTGTATTTATGACATAAAATACTATCGTAGACTATACAGAAAAGACGCACATAAAACATAACAAATATAATTAACAATTACAGTATTGTAATATATTCTATTCGAAAACAGGGATGTCATTGTTACTCTTACGTGCGATTAAAATTGATATTATAGAGAAAATTACTTATTGGACAGTTAAAATAGGCAAAGCATTTAAACTAGTTTAAACATATTTATTGTAGCTCATATGCGATGAAGTCGTGGAACTTATATTATCCATTCTCCAATCCGCTACCTTGGACTTACGAGCTTTGATTCCAAGTAGGAACCCTCGATCACTTGGTTGAGAGGAAGACAACTTCACCTCTACGGTTATTCTTATTTTACAGAGTTGTCTCCCATTATGTAGCTATTAGATAAGATGTGCCATCTGTTATGTAACTCGTTTACTTATTTCCTATTCCTATTGAACTGTTACTGTATTTGTAAAAAGGTTTAATAGCATTGTACGCATTTCCTGTATGACAGGATTTCCTATTTATTAAAACAGTACACATTTCTCTTTCTTCGAAGGATGTTATCATATATATATTTGATAATCATTACATCACATAAGATAAATGGACATCCTCATTTAGTATATCAATCAGATAAACTTTATATTATATATTTTTCTCAGGGACATTCTCATACTATACGGTAATTCTTGTTGAGAAATTTCTCTATCGACGAGATGAATAGGCGTGGCATCTTAGAAATTAAATCCAGCAAATATAAACAACATATACAGCTAACATTTCTATTACTTTCGTAGAGGGACACCGTACATGCTATTGTTTGTTTGCTCCGTTTCTTTTTTTTATCTTTATATTTTTTTCTATTTTTATTTATTTATTTATTTATTTTATTATTTATTTATTCATTTATTTTATTTGGGGGGGGGAGGGGGTAAGTCACGGTCACATTTAGCTTTACTAGTACAGGAAGACCTTAGAAGCCGTTTCTCGGATTATTTTAGGCAAGAGAAAGCGTTTGTGTAGAACCACCTACCTTTCGTAAGGTAGCTAGATAGCTTCCTCAAATGAAGGAATCCTTGAAGTGGTTTGAACTCTCAGCGGTGATGTTCGTGTGATTTGAAACCACACGGCCACTGAGACCCTATGCACTTCGCTATCATCATCATCATCATCATCATTATCATCATCATCGTCATTGAAATGTCGTACTGACACCAACCATCGTACTGTCGCGATTTACTGTTGTATTACTTCGTACTGTAACCATCGTACTGTCGCGCTTCCTCATCGTACTATCGTATAAGTATCTTATCAGTATAAGAATTTCCTTGCATGAGTGGCCATTGTTAAAATGAGACTTTATGACTTGATGAATGTTTTCCTCTATGTTAATATTTTATTTTGCAGGAAGGCGACAGTACGATGGTGACAGTACGACAGTACGGTGGCGACAGTACGACGTTGACAATACGACACTTCTTTACTGTACTATCGCACTTCTCCATCGTTCTGTCGCGCTTCTCGTTCTCAGAGAAAACGCGTTGATTTTCGCAATCACCAGCATAATAATTCAGTTTTCGTCGAGGTGTGAATTTCATTAATTTCTTGATTTTTTTATTTTATTTTATTTTATTTCTTTTACATAAAACAGAATGAAACATGGCCCAAATACCATGCCGTCGGTTTGTTAAAACAGGGGCTTTATAGAGGCCACTGATTAAAATGATAGCATAATTATACCACTTTGTCAGTACACTTAATTTTATAATTTCAGTACATATAGAAGAGTATGTAGCTTGCTTACAGTATGTGCATGTAGCATGTATTATAACTATGTTGTCCTCGAAATCGATCCCTGTCTGAAGCCGTTTAACTTTGAAGGCTCTGTAACACCGCACTTTGGGGTCAAACGCATTTTGGGGTCCGACCCCAAAGTGAGTTAAACTTCGCATCGCACTTTGGGGTCCAACGCACTTTGGGGTCAAAATCGAGAAATTGACCCCAAAGTGCGTTGATATGCTACATATCAACGCACTTTGGGTTCCAGAGTTCTGAATTAAGGTGTCATCTGAGTTCTGCTTAAATACTGAGTACTGACTTATTTCCGATCCGCGACATTGAAATATTTGAGGTGGAGTTCAAGATGGCGGTCGATACTTTGTTGGATGCTTAAGTGATAAATGTTTCATTAGTTTAACCACTTAAAATATCTAAAAATTGTGTTCATACACATGTAACAAAGAACTCTAGTACATAAATTGTGGATGTATTCCTAAAATTAAAAGATGCCGCGAAAAATATCCCGTTATGTCAGTTATTTACTTGATAACTTTTGGTGCTATATTGAGCCCCATGTTAAATATGATGGGTATGAAATAAAATGCAGTTAATATTTTTTTCCAAAGATCTATAAATACACTTTATTGCAATGTTCTGGTGAAATATCAAGTTTTTCGATCGGACTATAAATAGTGATTTTTTATACAAATACATTATTAAGCTTATCAACAAATTTAAGTTTTTTTGTGTAACAATTAACCATTCGTCAGAGGCTTTTTTAATGGGAAATATTTCATACTTCTTTAGAAAGAGCAAACAAGAATTTTATAATGTTAAATGTTAACGTCCGGGGTGATCCGGAGTACGACCGGGAATAACCGAAGTATATCCGTAACTCTGTCGGCAAAGTCCGGGATGATCCGGGAACATCTGGTATTCGACCCCGGATGGAATAAAATATATACTATCACCGGAATGGTCTGTTGTGATCCGGGAAGTATAGCTTTGCCGGCTTCATCCTTAGCTCTGCCGGGAACGACCGGGGTTACACCGGGGAAGCACCGTAGCTCTGCCGGCATTAACCGGGGATGATCCGAGGTATGATATAGCCGGTCGAGCTACGATAGAGCCTCGGTGAATGCCGGCAGAGCCTTGAAGGATTCCGGCAGGGCCCAGGAGGATGACGATGGAGCTACGGTTGATCCCGGTAGAGCCCCGACAAGGCCCGGTTCATTTCAAAAGATTCACGACAATTTGCGATGATTGCACTTGTTTGTATTTAAAGCCTTCCCATTTCCCTTCTATCCAGTCTTGCATTAGGAATTTTCAGAAAATCATCATGAATACTGTTCTGGAACAATTTGTATTAAATTGAATAAAAATTATGTATCAATGTTATCATGTTTGCGCGTTTTCAATCCACCTGGGTTCTACCGGGGCTCTTCCTGGATCGTCATCGGCACTGCCGGGGCTCTGCCTGGATCGACCGGGGCTTTGCCTGGGTTAACCGGGGCTCTTCCGGCGTCATCCGGGAACGACCGGGGAAGCACCTGCCGGGAGTAAGTGAGACCGCAGCTTTAATAATTGATACAAAGTCTTCACTTACTGATCAATACCATTTTAATTCCTATTGATTCTATTATAATTCAGGGCACATGTTTTGCGTCTATTTAATACCTTTAATTTTGTTTACCACAATTTTTTATTTAAAACATAATGGAAATTAATTTGTATGACCCCAAAGTGCGGTCGTTTGTCTGATGTTAAAAAATGCATATATACAGGTGTACCAAAGTACGTAACGCACTTTGGGGTCGGACCCCAAAGTGCGGTGTTACAAGGCTTAATATATTTCAGGTACATTTTTTTTCGATTTCTCAAAAGCTTTTATTATAGTGTTCTGTCAAAGTTTCCACTAAGTAGCCAATAACCCGAACTGTCTTTTACTGTCGGTTGCTTTCCGGCAATTAGTACAATCATAGTGATTATTAAGTAATCTGTACGGACGTAAAGTGTTATAGTGTTAGAAAATGTGGTCAATATGTTTATTATACAAGTGAGCTGCTTCTTTATCTAAATTTGATATTGGTATTGGCCGCCAGGAGCCATGAGCAAACTTTAATCTAGACGCCTCCTGGATAAAGACGGGCCAGTCTTACCTTGTTTTATATGTATTATTAGCTGCCTAATTATACATGTGTTATATTTACTTCAATGAAGTTTTTTTTTTCATTTCGAGCACTTTACAAGAATCTAATCTTTATTATATCTAGCCACTCATATAATTTCTCGATAAGCTGTTTGTTTAGCTTATTTATCAGATTCAGTGTTTAATTTTAAAAACAGCCTCGTTCAGAAGACTTTGCCTTTTTAAAGAATTTCTGAATTATGCAAACCAAAACGTTGGTATATTCAAGGGAATTTTGAGAATTTACAGTTGGCTACTTATTTTCTACTATTATTTTTTAAAAATGCCAAGCAATGTATACTTTGATATCGTCTGACAAACAACACTATATCCTGTATAACAGTATTGCAAACTCCAAAACAACCACTTGGTACTATGTTTCTAAGACCGACTTTCAAACTTTTCGAGTTTGATCACCTAAATTTGCATCTCTTGTCATAGGCGTAAACACATACATGTAACCATCGTCAATTGCATTATAGTTATGATAAATAACATGAAATAAGCAAACATTTCCATCTGAACAGACTAGTAAATACATAAATAACTTAGTTCATTTATGTGCTTTAACATTTTTATTTTTGACAAGTTATTATAAACTGTAGACGTATTTAAAGGTCTAACAATATCAAAAGTAACATAGCAAATCTAATATTATTAAATAAGGGGATATAATTTGAAGTTCCAAATTAAAGAAAACACTGATCTCGTACAATGAACTATGAATAGTAAGCTTGCCGTCGTAAAAATACTAAAATGTTTTAAAGGAGCATTGAAGTCTCTTATGCAATACAATTTTGTATATTATTTTACAAAGATTTTAAATGACCAATGGAAAACCAAGTTTGCGTGTAAGTGTTCTTAAAAGTATACTTGGTATTCGCTAATCATGTCTTTTCCTGTTTTAATGTACATTCTATTATTAAGTTTGTTAAAGATAATACTTCCAATTTCTCCATTCTCTTTAGCTTTGTCAATTAACACACCGAGCACCTTGCCTTTCTTAGATATCTGGTAGACTTTGTTATCACAAGATACATATATATTGTGACCCCCCTCACCATCCGATGCTAGATATGTTGGATGTTTCCCATCCTCTAACATCGTTTCATGCATTACAACTCTCGTTGTGACATCAACTGTAATGATACACGAATTTTTCGTGTCTGATATAGAGATAAACTTGCCTCCTCTCGAAGAAGTCATGTGGTGAAGTGTGCTACTAGCAATGTCCAGCGTAAATGGATTGAACACTTCTAGTTTGCTCTTCAAATTTCCACGGTAGTCTAGAAGCCGCAATTCCCACGTGATATTTGTTTTCTTTGAGATTACAGCTACGCCATATTTCCATATAACCATACCTTCTATTCGCTTAATTTCAACTTTTATATTTCTTGAAATATCCATTCCTTTGAGTGCTGAAACTTCATATATATTCTTAGGTGTTGCGGTATAAACGTCTGTTGGACACAAATTGGATGCACATATATCAATCAGTCTGTTTTGAAATTGTAAAGCCGCAATACAATGAAACGACTTACTGAAAAGTTTGACATTGTTGTTATTTTTATCAAGTATTGCTAGTCTTCCATCCATTAATATTGACATTGCTAGTATGTCTGTTCTCTTTTCGCCACGAGGAAATGGTATACTTAAGCAATGCTCATTAATAAACTCAACTTCCTTTTTACCGGCTGTAGTTTTCTGCACAATTCTGGGCTTTATTGATCTCCCGCCAGAAATATGACTTTTCACACTGTCCATATCATGTACACTGTAACCCTCTCGGCTTGTTATCGGCCTTGCTGTAAACAATGCGTGTTCTCTTCTCCGAGCTGTTTTTGGCGAATCCTTTACTTTATACTTTGCCTTTAGTGACTTGAACTTCGCGGCCATTGCGTCAAAACCTGGTTTTGGTTTTGTGTATATCATAACTGGTCTGTGATGTCCCGCCGCATGAAAAACTCGATCTGGAATAGGCTTTGGTTGAACCAAATAAGGTAGATTTGGTATACTTGAATGTGCCCATTTAGGATGTTTAGTATATGAAGAGGTGACCCTCTTGTTTGGACCAGGATACAAGGACTCTGGAACATGCTTGAACGGGGAACTGTATGGATTCGAGTTATCTAAATCTGATAGTAATTTCCTCTTCTTTTTTCTATCTTTCTTTGTGTCTAAAGATGCTTCGCTGGCATTCAAATCCACTTTATCTTGAATTGTATCGAGAAATGCATTTGCTTCCTTTCTATGGTCCATTGATTTAGAGACGAATGAGCTTTGAATGATTCTATGACGTCTGTTTGCTCTAAAACCAGTGTGTTGGACAACGCACTTCATACAAAGAAACATTGAACAATCTGCACAGTAGCCAGTAGCTTGTACATACTTGTTGATTGCCAACTCATTCTTGCAATAGGATGGGACTATCTCATGATTTCTTGTACTCGAATTGGCATTATGAACAGAAATACATGCATTACAAAGGTATTGCTGACAATTAGTACAGTAACCTGCTAAATGAATGTTAGTATCGACATGCAGACAGTTTGAACATATCAGTGACGATAAAGCCTCGTGATCATCGCTCTGTGTTGTTGTGCTCCATATCCCCTTAGATGTGGTATGTGATGTAGCTGTTTCTCTCTTTAAATGCGACATGCCGTCACCTCGAAGAGTAAAACCTGAAGTTTCCGTTGTTCCAAAACCAAATTGTGATTCAGTAGTTTCTGTGCCAGTGCTTATTGCAACCTTCGCCGATGCAATAATTTCTTTTAAGTCGTTTTCAGTAGACGAACTTTTAACAATTTGTGAATCTTGTGGCTGACTCTCAGTGGAAATTCGTTTCACTTGTTGATTCTCTACGTGAATTTCGCTACGGTTTGAACCACTCTCACTAAGTTTTTTCGAATGAGGTCGTTGTGGCAACTGTCCATTCTTTGTATGCAGCAATTCAGATTCATCAATTTCTTTTTCAGTTTCAATACTTCGATAGCTCATTTCATTATGTGTGGTATTGTCAGTGTTAACACTTGCTTTTTTTGTTTTGTTATTCATTTTAGGTAGGAGATCTAATTCACCAGTAATTCTTTTAGTTTCCGTGTTTGCCTCATGAGTATTAGAATTGTTAACATCTGGTTCTTTTGATTTATCTAAATTTGTTGAAATATTTGTTTGTGGTTCATTGTCTGTTTTCTTGCTTTGCTTTACGTAGTCATCAATTTGTTTTATGTGTGGAATATTATCAAATCTAGAGCAATGCTCATCGGCATAATTAGTTCCTAAAACTTTAGATGTCACTTTATTGATATCATCTACGGTCATGTTAACGGTATTGCTGTTTCTATCGTCATTCGAGGCTTCTGTGGGCTCATTTGCTTCCTGAACTATCATGATAGCGTCTGGAAAAGGTTTACTCGCAATGTCATATTGATTCTTACTATTGTCGTTGCATTTAGAGCGATTTTGTGTATTTTCTTTGACATCAGATGACGTGCCCTTGATTTCTTGTAGAAGGTCTTGTATTTGTCTTGAAGGTGTTAGAGGCTTTCCACCGGCGGGCTTAGCATCTTCCTTCGTTATCACACCATGCGATTTGTTGCCAATAGGTGAATTCACACTTTCATTTTCTCCAAATTTGTCTCGTCCATCGCTGTCTTGCGATACTTTTGAAGTTACGACGATCCCCTCTTCTTTAGTCGTCCCATTATCGCTTTTTTCGTATCTCTCGGAAGTTTTTGCACTAGTCAACTGTATTGTTTCATCCCTTGAAAGAAGGGACGGAAGTCTGCCGGTAAAATATATGTTCTCTTCTGGTAAACCGTCACGCCGAGAAACATTTTCTGGGTCTTTATCGGAATTGCTTCCTGGATTGTTAGCATTTTGATTTGTTGAGTCCTTTTCATCTGTTTCCATAGATTTATACATCATATGTATTATGTCCGGTTGTTCTTTAGAGTTGTTAGCAATTAAAATTTCTGAACTTTCTTGAACCGGTTCTTCCTTTTCGCCATTCACAAGATGATTGTCGCCATGTGATTCATCGACATCTTGATTTATTATGGTGGAACTATCCGTCGTTTCCTCGAAGTTCTCTATTATAGAAACTGTGTCAATGCGACTTTCAAAAACCATTTTCTTTTCACTGGAAGTTGTTTTATTGGGTTCTTCTTGTTTAATTTCAGGCATTTGATCTTCATTATCATCTTTGTTCTGAATATTCTTTACTTCATCATTTTGCAAATATGTTGACGGCCTGCTGGCTTCTGTTGAGCTGTTTTTATCATTAGTTTCTAATATATCACTAGTACTCATTCGTAATGGAACTGGTGTACTTCTTGTCATGTTTACCTGTTCTGATAACTGAATCGGTTGTATTGAAAACTGATTATTTTCATTACTGTCTCTTGCTTGTTGAACATGATCACTTTCAACCGCATCATCTGTGACAGTAAAATATAAAAAACAACAACATACAATTGCTATCATAAGGGATAAAAATACAGAACAATTTTAAACCATAATTGATTACTGCGTAACATCAACATTATTATTTTTGTATTAAGTAAGAAAGCATACTAGAAATAAAATAAAATAAAATACCAGGTTTTATAATAATCAGGATTTAATTCTTATATTATAAGTAGAAATGAATTATAAAAAATGTATTGAAAGATGGCAAAAATCCTTGTTAAGAACCAAATGATCCTTGTTTTGTGGAAATTATATATTTTCCATATATTTATTGACTTTATTCTCGTGCTCTCTGAATCTGACATTTTGTGTTAATATTCGGCTTGAAACTATATACTGATGCCTTAACTCATTTGCTTGTTTTGTCTAAAATTCATGTAAATCAAACGGCTATTTTCAAAAGAAAGCCTTACATAATCATTTAATTGAAACATAGTTGTGTGTGATTTCTTTTACCTAATAACTAGTATTATATAAGCCTTTTTAATCTAATGCGCATGTTGCAATGTTACATGTATATAATTTTATGTCGTGCTAATCTATGTCATAAAACGTAGAGTTATTGATTTTCAGTAAACCCCTATATGTTTTGTAAAATATCATACATGTTAATCTTGCATAAAGAAACCTTTATATATGAATATCAAATATAATAGTATACACTGAATATAGTAAAACCTATTATTAAAAGTTGTTTTTGCAATGTTTATATAAAAACATACCTTGTTGTTTGGAACCCGAACTTACTGGAACATTTCCCTGATGGATAGTTTCCACGTTCTCGTTTTTGATTGATTTTTCCTGGTTATAATCGCTAACAGTGCTGTCATTTCTTTGATAATTTCTCTTAGCATCATTTTCTTCATTGCTTTGAGCTTTTGATTGTTCACTCAAATTATTGAATGTGTTCTCAGCAATTGATCTTAATTGTGAATCAAATTCGTCATCAAGCTGACCCCCTTTTTCTGAATGAGCCTGGAATTTGGAAACGTTTTGTACTGTATCGTCTACTTTTTCAATATTGTCTTTACTCATTTCATCAACAGTTTCAGTGCCGCTGTGAATCTTAACGCAATCATCCGTATGGTCATTTTTAGAAACGTCTATTTTGGCAGTATTATTTTCATTTTCGCTTGCATTTATTTCCTTATTATCTGTACCTTTTTCCTTATTATCATTCAAAAGAGAAACTTGTGTTTTAAAGAAAGAGCTATAACCACTGACATCTTTTTGCAGTGTCAAATCATCAACAGTATTTTCCATTTTATTTAAGATAAAAAATAACACAGGTTACAAAACCTTTTTATTACACTGTACGTTAGCAACACGGGGCGACATTGTGATTATGTGAGAGTATAAGATTTTGTTTAAAACAATACCACAAGATTGTATAGAGAATAACAATGAGAAAAAGTATTTTGTTACAATTTTTATTCATTTCGCTTACATGCTCACTCAGCCAAGGTAATTACACACAATAAAGGTAACTTATTTTAGATCTGTAATGGAATATTGACTTTTCCTTTTTTGATGTCTTTTCATTGTTTTATTTATCTAAACTAATATGTTTTCTGTTTTTCATGGTATAGTATGTATAAGGCACTCTTTCTATTTTTATACTAGATTACAACGAAAATGTTAAATATAGCACCCTAAAAAAGCTGTTATAAGTTGCTAAAGTCTGTCTGTAATAGTAACACATCAGACATTTAAATATACTGTCATTAGATATTGCATTGTTATTTCTATTTGAAAATTAAGTTTGAGATTCCATAAAATTACATGCATGAATATGAAATATCATTACCTTGCTTATTAAAGTTGTATAACAGACTAACTCTAGACTAAGCAATGAGATGCTATATTAAATTAATTACATTGAAATAAATAAATTGATATAATATAATTCAATGTTCATAATAATTGTTAAAATAGAACAATAGATAAAGCAATTATAAATGAAACAATTTCTAAGTTATTTTTTTTTGTCGTCAAACTTTGTGTCAACTGTTATATAACGTTTATTTCAATTGTTTTCTATATGAAAGCGTATTGAAAGTTTTTGGTTGATAGTTTGATTAACTTAGACAATAAAGACGTCTGGCTCTGCCAGACACTATACATCAGTCTTGTGTTATTGATACTCTACTGATTATGGCACAAACATATAACGTGGTAATAGTAAATCATAAAAGTCATTTTGGTCCAATATATTTCATGTGTATTTTTTGTACAAGCTATTCGAAGACGTACTTTGCTTGCCTTGCTTACTTATTACTATTGAAGATGATACACCCTGAATTTGTCAGTTTGGAATTTGGACCACGAATGTACAACGAGGTTCTGTGTCCTTTGATTGTAAACAATTATCGATTGTCTATTAATATTAGACACAGGGACACCCAAATCCCGTCCATGTTTTGATATTTTATGCACTTCCCCGTACCACGTGACAAGAAGATTTCCATCCGGATCCATAGCAAGACTTCCTGGGGCGCCACCTTTGGACTTCCCTCGCAAAACGTATACAACATGCCAGTTTTGGATATCGATGCTAATAATTCTGTTAAGACAAGTATCAGACAGAAGGAGTTCTCGCCCGTCATTTGTCGTAGTTATATACCATATTGGTGTCACCATCTTTACGCTAAATTGACTGCTGATTGTGATTTCGTACTGGATATCCCCTGCATAGGTTATCAAGTGCACTTCTAGATGTCCTTTCTTATCCGCTCGTGACTTATAAGACTTGAAAACAATAGCGACGCCAGATTCCCAAGGTGCTAGACCTTCTATTTTAGGCACATCCGTTTCAATTGTACGTATTATTTGTAATCCTTCATCTGTTCCAAATAGCAATACATTGCTTCCACTGGAGGCAAAAAACTCTGAATCAACTTGTTTGCATGTTGATAGTGCGACTGGAAATTTTGAAATATTTATTGAAGATGTATTTCTGTATCGCGAGTCATACAATTTTATATTTTTGTTGCCATTATCTGCGACAACAAGATTGTCGTTTTCCAAAAAGACAGATGATATAATGTGACATTTTGCCTTATCTTCTTCTCCTTTCAGATTAAATTCACCTATCAATTCTGCATTTTCTTTGACATGTTCATCATCATAATGAACACTCTTTGGCTTTACTCCTGTTTCATGTGCACGTTCACCTTGCATACGTCCTGTGGTTGCTTTGACCAAAGTTCTTGGTTTATCATACACCGGTTTATCAATAGCCACGGACTGCTTCTTTGGAACTAAAACAGGGAGATTTCCTATACTGCTTAGGTATGGGGACTTTCTGCCGGACTCCCTGTCTGTAGACTTTGACATTCTCGACATTATTTTCCTGTAACAATAGGAAAATACATCTACAGTTTATGTACTGAAAACTTTAGTTTTTTTTACAGAATATAAATATTTATGTAACATGATATCATTGATATGATTGTATGTACAATCATATTCTGTAAAAAGAAATTTAACATGTGTTCATCAAAGCTGTTTTCTCTGATACTTGGTCATTATCGGACTCAGGTTTATTAGCTATATGCTGCTAGATTTTTTTATCTTAAGAAAAACAAAACAAACGAAATACCTGCTGCTTTTTGACGATATCGGCTTTCTAATCATCGCATGTTCAAATGGATTATCAAAAGCTGCCTTTCCTCCAATAAAGGTGTGATGCCTGTATTCACGAAATCCCCGGTGATTCATTTTACATTTCTGACAAAGATAATGTCCACAGTCCAAACAAAAAGAGTCTGCACGGACTAATTTGTTAACCATCAGATTTGTTTGACAGTAAAAGAATGCGATTGGATGATTTTTATGGCGATCATCCTTTCGATGAACATCAACACACTGACTACAAAGGTAATATTTACAAATTTTACATATTCCAACAGCCCCGTTCTCATCTCCGTTTATGTAACATTTTGCACATATCATATCATTAGTTCCATTTATTTCAATAGAATGCTCGCTGCTATTGTCCGACTCTCCTGCCGATGTCGCCATCTTCCAAACGTCAATATTCTGATTTTAATTATATCAAAGTTTGAGCTAGTTGTATAAACTTAAACGTTTAAATAGATAGTTTAAAATGTATGATTTTCTCGCTTAAATCAATGTACTTTATTCAAGAGAATACTTTGATATTCATACTGAAAATAATATTTCTATGATTATTCGACTGTTTTGGCCTTTATGACATTGCACTAGAGTGACATTTAAGGTAATTATTATTACAATAAATACCTTTCCTCTGTTTTATGCTATATTGTCTCTGTGTAATCAAGTGGTGACTTACACCCGTCTGTTAGTATTTATAAATTGGTTAAGGTTTAACAAAAGGGCGTTTACACCTCGTTAATTAAATCGTTGATAATAATTATTTTAACACTGTCTTTGTTAAATGTATTCTCCTAGTTACCTTTATCAACACGCACATGGTCACATAGCAATGGCGTTAACATAGTTTCATATAGTTCGCTCAGATCAAAACATTAGTATATAACGGAAAGTGAAAAGCTCAAAACATTTAATGGAAGAAGGTAAATAATAAATAATGTAAGATAAAAAGAGACCTATAATATTATAATATCGTACTGTACATTATTCATACAATCATTTTGACATTAACTCAGTAATATATATTATATTTGATATACATGTGTTGAATTGATTGGGTAGTGCGAAAAGCACAAACTGTTTTCCCCAATACTATATATCTGACAATATACTAGTAACTAATGGACAATTATCACATGAAGTAGCTGACTTTCATGTCATATAACCTTAATGTATTTCTTTATATTTTTCACATTTAATATTACATTGTCGTGACGTCATGTTCGGCAAACAACAAAAGCAAAAACGAAAAACGGCAAACAACAAAAGCGTGCGTATATGAATTTCATGAGATAAACGGCAAACAACAAAAGCGTGCATATAACGTCAAAACAAACTTATTATCATAACTATTAAATGCGTTAAATCATGACATAAAAAGAAAATTAAGCTTTCATGAGATGTCATATGATATGAATTTCTTAATATCGTTTAATGTGAGATAACATGACATTATATAAGAAGTGACGTGGCGCCTCTGGTTTATAAGATGAAAATGAGATCATGACAGTAAGAAAATCCAGAGGTCGCAATTTCAGTCTCCTGCTTAATATTGAATTTCTTTCAAGTGTTTAGAACTGATGTCCCATGTAAACATAAAATTACTTTTCCTACAATGATAATATCATACGTAAACGCGATTATAAATGACGATGACACATACTTAATATAATGATGATAATGATATTGGTAGGTAAATCATATGCACAATTATTCAAAATTTGATTCTTTATTTTCTTGCATAATTTACAAACATGTAAAATAAACCTGACAAAATATATATGATATGTCAAAAGTAACATAATCATGGTTATACAAGTGCGACTATTAATGTTTCATAAACAAAAATCTGTATTAAAGTCAATCATGTAAAGACGGGAAATAAATCTTTTTTAATTTGTGGATAACGGAATATTAGAGTTATTTCCCATTCATATAGTATAACCAATACAACTACTTCACGTTTGACGATGCACCGATCTTTGCAAATCGTAAATCAAAATATCCATTTCACCACTTTGTTCTATAAAACAATCAAAATCGTATTTTCTAAATAATCCTCGTCAAGTAATATTTCAATAATGTAGTATTATTTCTAAATATGCCTAAATAAGTGGTGTTTTATCAAGAATATAAACGTGTTTCGCAAAATACGTATTACCAAGTTTTTAATAAGTTAATTTATCAGAATGTATTAATAATTGTTTTTAAAGCACACTCAAGTTTTCATTCTAATAACATTTATTTAGTTTAAGCTTTTAACGACGATTGTGTTGATTTACACTTGAATGAACAAATAAATACACATCGTCTGCTATTAGCAAACATTGATGGGATTATACTGGGAACATTACATTTTGACCCCATTGAAAATTGACCCAACGGATCATTTTGCAATGTTGAAAAAAGATCGTGGGTCAATTTTCAACGTTGGGAACTGACCAATTTGATCAAAAAGTCGTGGAGAAATAATCAATCGTTAATTTTTTTTATCAAATTACGGTAATTTTGACGGTTAATTAAATTTTTGTTAAACGTCTGAAACGCTTAGAATAAACAGATTCTATCGGCGAGGAAAGCAATTCAATCTGTATGAAGAGGGAACTATTTAACGAAAGTTTAAGACAAATATTCTGTGTGGTAGGAGTCCGACATGCCCATCGGGATTTCCACGGAGGAACTAAGTTTTTTTTGTCCAATAGTCATTTTACGAACTAGTATAATCAACTGTTAAAATTCATTAGAATATCTATAGCCAGTCATAGTTTAACGACTATATGTTCCATATTGTGTGTGTAAATAAATCGATCTATACCTATTAATAAATAAACATCTTCCCGCTCTTTAAAAGCGATAGTTTGACATTGCGGTTATATGGATTAAGGTAATAAAAGTTGTTGGCGTTAATTTAATATATGTTTTCTAATCCTACTTAACATATGATATTTAACCCTAAATACACGTGTAAAGTCCACGGTCTCTTATGTAATACCAGTAAATATTTTATACCAACCTCCTCGCACGTAGTGAGTAGGGGAAGTAACCGATGCTGGATACACTACACTTTTCGCAGCGGTTACTTTCCCTGTTCAGTACAATGAAGCAGAAATGCACGGTGCATATTTATGAGCGATTGAAATACTGCACAGCTATTTCAATCTTTAAGTTAATATTCATTCTAAGAGGGGCAGATGGGATTTAACTACGAGAAAAATGTCCATTAGACTCGCACAAAAGAGAAAATTCTAAGAACACATGACAGTTTTAAAGTGCAATCATGTCAGATTAAAAATGTAGACCAAACATTTGCTATGACCATTTATGTTCACTAACTATATTGGAAATGCTTAACAGACCAAGAAATCTGTCAAATTTGATCATAGAAGTTTTGTATGTAATGTAACTGTAAGATAACTACTATTCAGTATTATTTGAATTAATGAATGATTCAGCTACGAGTATGATACTTTTTATATTTCAAAGATAATTTAAATATTATTATTGTAGAGCTACAATTGTCAAGGCTGAGTCATTTGGAAGATGGACTGTTTTCTTTTTATGTCACACCGACACTGTTAATGACATTCGGTGACTGTCCAATATTTACTGGTGGATAAAGACTTCCGGTGCCTCTCTGTGCATTATTTCAGGCACGAGCGAGTACATAAATAGATCCACCGACTTTCCGTAAACTAGTTGGAATGTGAAAGATTATAAATGTGTTTACGAAGTATTCGTAGAAGCAGTTTTACCAAAATTTAGAAATCGTTCACCCGGAAGTATTCAAGCTATCAGCATTCACTTCCGAATACACTACAATGCAAAATAGTTCGTCGGAACTGTTTCAAATGTTTGTAAGTCAACGCAACATTATGATAGCTATTGTTAAACTGTCAATTGATAAAGTGATCCCTTGGAAGCATTAATCACAACAAAATTACATGAAAATTGCAGACTCGGTTTGATTGAGTCTATACATAATGTGCAACATCCCTCACGCTCCCTATAACGTCAATAACTTATGTGTTCATCCTTCAATCACGACACTACTAGTGTAATTGTTTCTGCTAAGACATCCAATATGTGGTCAATTGCTAATGCCATTATAACGAGAACAATTTATAAATCTGTTATTGAATACACTAAACACATCTTCAATCTTTTAACCAATTCGATAAAGAGCAATAACTAAAATTCCTTTTATAAAAAAGTAAAGAAAAAACAGAATCTCTTAAAGAAGACATTGATTGGGTTTGGAAAAAGAAAAACCCGAGACAAAAAATAAAAACAAGACATCTATTCTGTCCAATGCTTTGATATATCAATGTTTTGACAAATGCAGCACAAACAGTAAACTAGCAGATAAGATCAGTCAAAATATACAAAAAACATCCATGCAAATCTGTTGTACTGAAATGAAAATTTCAAATTTTGAGTTTAGTAATTATGTATAATAATGAGCTGTATTCAACATTAATTAATATGGCGTGAAACTGAGTAATGAATACAATGGTTAATGGAAAAAAAAAGAAACACATTAGGTGAAAAATTAAATTAAAATTTACATGCGTTTTAAGACATTCTGTATCTGAAATGATTTTGCATAAATTAAATTTGTATGCAAATATGTAAGAGATAATTCTAGTGTACCAGGATTTGTAGATGCTATATTCTCCACTTATTATGATCTGTTTGTTGATATTCTTTCTTTGATTTTCGTACATCTGTTAACGTGAGGAACTTTGATTACGCAATTTCAGTATGGAAAGTGTAGTGTTAAACCCGGCTTTACAGATATACAGACCTACCTGACTTCACCCTGATGGTTAAGGCAAGTCATTGTCCCTACAATAATTACTCAGAGGTTTTAAAATGTTCTTTAAATTGACTGTGTAATATATACACTTTTACTTTTCGAAAACGACTAGTTGTAGCTACAGAAAACCTATATCTTGACAAAAACAATTCAATATTGAACCATAATAAATCATCAAGTTCATTTCTACAGATCCTGGCAAAAAGGTTTCGTTATGTCATTGAAAAAAATATTTATTATCATTCAATAATCGTTTAAGCAAATTCTATTTTTTATATTAACTTCGATGTTAATATTTTGTTTATTCAACATAATTCATTTGTTTGTAGCAAAACCTGATATTCTAAACCCAAAAGCTATTTGAATTAATAAATACTTTCTTATCTTTCAAATGATACACTATACTGCAAAGACGATACGACAACAATGTAAAACAGAAATTGAATAACACACGAAATAACTATGATATATATGATGTAACATACAGATAAAATGAAAAAGAGACTGTAATACGAGTAAAAGCGATAATAAATTTGTTAGTAATAAATAGTGAATACATTAGTCTGTTACAGCTTTCCTCATAGGGATACCGAAATAGTCAGGTGAAAGGGAATCCACGGGTATTTCAGGCAGACTGATATCGTCACAATCGCTATGAAAATGTTCCATTTGTTGGCGCAAGCTTTGTAAGCAAACTTGAATGTCTTTCATTTCCTTTTTAGCCTTGAGAAAGGCAGTAGACATAACTTCAGATGCATTAGCTTCAAAATACTCTAGTGCTTCGTCTGATAACCATGTTTCACTTTTCTTCCTTTCATCTTTATATGCACTGTTAACTACTGTGCAACTAAGAAATACTTCAGCCCCTTCTACAGGTTCCGTGTAAGTTTTTGTGAACAAAATTTCCATCGTTTCCTCGGCTTCGTCATCAGCCAGCATACTATCTGTACTTAAGTCGTCACGATGCTCAGAAACGTCAATATCTGATTCGGTACACGTGGCTGACTGTCGTCCAGATGTGTCAAATTGTACTGGCGTTTCTTCTTCCGCCTTCGCAAGTTCTGGAAGAGCAGTGTGTCTCGGATGAGCTTCAGCAGTAGGTGTAATGTCTCTTAGATCTTCAGTTGTAATTAGCGGTGTAGCATCATTCATCAAACCATTTCCGAAAGATTGTATAGGTAACGAAAAGTTTTTGTCTTTATTTTCTAAGACAATGTTATCATACTGAAAACCTTGGAAGCTCATTGTTTTGGCACTTACAACGTTCGAAATCTCTTCCGATAACAAACTATCATCTTCACTAGATGCAATATCATCAAATATCTCAGGAGGCGGAAGCTGCCGAGGATCGAAATATTCTGGCAAGTCATCATCTGAAGCAGGATTTTGCTGGTTTTTGCTATTTTCCAATTCGTCTGACGTACACTTCAGACTACACGAAAAGTCAGACATTTTGTCTTGTTGTCTAACTTTTGTTTTCTCATTATCACTATTGGATCTCTTATTGTCTGAATGGTCTCTACTCTTCTCTAGTTTTGAAAGACCATCTATTGTTTCATAAATATGGTCTTCGTAATTCTTACGTTTCCGCTCTGGACTGTCTGCAGTTGCATTATCTTCTGTCCCATTATCTTCATCTGACATAGCTTCCAATAAGTGTGACAAACGTTTGCAAACATTTTCTGTGAATTCCAAAATCTCACTTTTTCGTCTATCGTCTTCTCCATAGTCAACAGTATCGTCATCCTCTTCAAACGCATCTTCTTCCTCTTCTTCTAGAACTTCCATTGCTAATGGAGAAGGTGGAGGGACGTTTTCAGTCAGTTTGTCATTGTCATCCACATTGCTAATTGAGTCATTTGTGTAGATTCTATTTTCTACAGAAAGTCTGTCAATTGTTTCATATGGCACTTTCAAATCAGTATTGTCATGAATGTCATCACTACTTAAACTTACAGAATGACTGTGTTCATCTCTTTGCTCGACTTCGACTTCCTCTGTTGATCTCTCAGAGGGTAAATCAGCTAATGATTTAATTATCAACGTACCGCTGTCAGATATTTCAACAATGTCTTTAGACAAATGCGAATAGTGATTTCTTCTCCTGCTTACCTCATTTACTTCTTTTGGTTCTTCACAATTATTACCGGTGCACGTTTTGTTATTCTGTGCAGTTTCCTGAAATGGTTTGTCAGATATATTTGAATCCTTGTGTCTTATAACTATACCACTGGGTTCAAGTTTTGCACAAACTCCGACATTTTCATACTGATTTAATGCGACAGGTTCGGATTTATCTTTATCCTGATCTTCTGTTACCTTGGTCTGTGAAAACATTGTTTGCGTAAGCATTAAAACACTATCAATTTTTCTGTCAATTTCACTATCTCGAATAGACTGTGTTTTTTGTTCATTTTCTTTTTTCGGTTTGTTTCCTCTGTCATCTTGTTCTACAAGACAAGCATCAGCAGAATCAACTGAAGTTTTTGATTTTCCTTTTCTCGAAGGTTTTTGCATTGCATCCTTTGAGTTTTTACGACTGATGTCCTTACTGCTGGAACTTGAATTAGATTTTGAACTACTTGAAGATGCTTTTCGTAAGGCAGCATTTGGCTCAACTGATTCTTCTATTCTAGTCACGTTCTCATAATTGTGTTGACGTTGTTCTGATGTTATCTTAGCAAGTTTTGTTTTGGGTTTAGCCTGTTTAAATTCAAATGTTGAATGCGCTGTAGCAGTTCCAGGTTCAACTAGTCTATTTCCTTTGTCTATGTAAAATGGGACATTTGGACATGTTTCTGTAGATATTCCTGGGATTTGAATTTCTTCTGAAGGTGAAGGTTCTTCGGCTATTGTTGTAAATCTAGGTTCACTTATAGATTTTATTACATCAGAAGTGCCTGCACCTGGTACAAACTTTATATCATCGGTTTCTACAATTTCAAATGGCTCTAGCTCAACGGGTTCATTTATTTCCTGTTCGCTTCTACTTCGTCCCTCGAAAGGATAGACCTCGTTTGAATCGAAATTAAGGTCTTCGTTTCGGCTAGTTCTATTTGATCGGTTAACTTTTTCTTTAAGTTTTCTTTTTGGCACTTGGCAGCATTTTGTTCTACCGTCGTCCGGCGTGTCATCATCACTTTGAACTTTTTGAGCTTGTGCTTGTTTGTTTCCCATGTTCGAATGATTTCTGACGCTAAACCTTTTAGAATCTTGTGTATTATCTAATAATGATTCTTCGTGGTCACTGGACTCTTCAGAGTTCTGCAAAGTCCCATCAGTTGATCCGGAAAAATTGTCTTCTGTCAGACGGTTTTCCTTCGTTTCTCGTTCTGAAGCATTTTTACAAATTTGTGTAAACAAAAATTTGTCAATTAATGAATCTGTACAAATCGTTTCAGAAGTAATGCAATTTGAATCATTTTTATTGTGATTATCATGAGTACCTACAACATTAAAGCTATCTCGAGGACCACCTGATGATTTTTCAACACAATGCTTTAACTCATATTCGATTGCATTCGTTGTATTCTGGATAGCATTTCCAGGACAATAAACTATATTATTCTCATCAAGTGTCTTCCTCGATAATTCTTCAATATTTTGAGCGTTTCTAACAAATGTTGTATTATTCTCAAAATCTGATCCTGAAAAATCTATAATTTCATGACCAGCAGTACTCGCATCAATGACTGTATTATTTGAGCCTGAAGATATTTTGCTAGATTCGTAGACGTCATCGGCAGGTAAACTCGTACAGTTGGAATCGTGCGTTGATTCAGTTACATTAGGCACCAAAGAAGGAAAGCGACAAGAAAGCGAGGCGGACACAACAGTTAGGGTTACATCTTGTTCCGAATCACTCATGTACCTATTGGTAAAAGGTTAGAGGTGCGGCACATGCCATCTTCTGCCAGCCATCTACTACATCTGAAATATCAAAACAACATCATGATAATCCCGTTTTTGAAAATGAACCTGTTACCTATTTCAATCATTTCCTATAAAAATAGATTGAAAATTTTGTACTGTGGCCGCATTTCTTAAATAATAGAAAACACCTGTCTTCAATTAAATCCGCCGTAAACCATAAAGTAAAGTTTGACTCATTCAACTCTACTTTATATAACGGAATTTAGAAGTTTAATGCCCCTTTTTTATGGAAAATAAGATATATTTTTCCAACACAATTTCTCTTATCTAAGCTTCTTATGCCACATGTTCACTAGATGGTATATGTTTTAAGCACTAGATATTTTTTATATCATGGGGAAATTATTATCAGATTAGCTATTGATATAAATATATAAGTTTCAAGATTTGCAAGGTTAAATCTTTTTAAGATCTTGCCTCTGAATCAATGTTAATGCATTGTGGCTTGGTACTCAGGTAGTTGGCAGTTGTAAAGTTTTCGTTTTGTTTTTTAATTTGCCCAAACGCTGTTGTTATCGTGCAATCTAAAGTTCACCAAATCGGTTTATATCTGGTATATAACATATATTTAAAAATCGGTAGTTAACCGAGCAGGAAATTTATTGGTTTATTTTTCATTTTCTTGGTCACTAAATGTAGTGTAGTAAATTACCTCAATGTAAGTAACATTATGACGTCACTCGATCGACATATTGAGTCACATCACAATGACATTAAATTCTGGTCTCAGTCCCAACAAAATTCATGTATATATTGAGATTAAATTTTGGTCACAAATTAACGAAAAGAAAACTGATTTTAAAACGAAGCTTTGGTCACTGAATCTGGAATATCGAAGTTTTGGAATTATCTCTTTATATCGAAATTAAAATAACTTTTAGGTTACACGCAGAAATGTGATATTCAATATTAATGGTGAATTCGATGATTTGCTGTCACTAATTAATATTATACATAGATATACTACTTGTTTAAAGTAGCGGCATTTATGTACATAAATCTGGGGAAAAAATTAAGTATAGAAAGCTTCCAAGTTAAGTTTTAAATTCGTTGCAAATTTTATTGCGGTGTAGAACTATTTATCAGCGTTGTCAGATCTTGCGCTCAGACAGCTAGGTGTGCTGATTCTAGTCCTGGAAGCAAACTTTATCATGATATTGGATGAGAACATGATTATCTTTTCATTTTTATAAATGGAGTGTTTCAGCATTTTTGTCTCAATCTGATAAAAAAAGAAAAACAGGTAAATATCCAGGTTATATTAAAATATAGCTTACTCGATTGTGTTTCTAGTTTTGTATATCTGTTTCATTTCAAATCATATTGTCTGTTACTTATTATAGACGTGATTGTAACTATTACGGTATCTACAAATTTCCAGTTTATAAAAGAACAACAACAACAACAAAACAACAAAACCGACGTCTTAAAGGAGATTCACAAAGGTCAAAAAGTCTTCAAACATTTAAAAAAAAATTAGCCATGATACAACTGGGACACTTAAAACTTGCAAATATTAAAAGAGAGAATATTTTCCAAAATACAATTATGATTCCTAGCCCTTTATGACTTGAAAGCGTTTTTACTATTCATTTTATGTCATTTTGATTATTCTGGAAAAAATGAGTGAGCATAATTTATATCTGGAATTTTGCACAGGAAGCTATTGGTATAGACCTCACATCAAATTTTATTTTAAAAAAACTGTAACATGTAGTAAATTTCAATTGCCAAAAGAATGTTGGACAAGAGTAAAATATTTATATTCTATGAAAAGCTCAGCTTTTATATAAAAAAAATATTTGAAATTAGGGCGGTGGGCTGCCAGAAATGATGAAATGAAACTAGTATATTGAAATATTTAAACTTACTGGCATATTCTGTATCCATATAAAAATAACCATTTCTTTATAAACGCACTTATGTAAAAGACATCATAAAATGATATATTTTTGTTATATTTCTCACGTAAATATTTACCCAGTCATGATTTGAAACTCATTGATGTTCACGTTTTAGAATGTTGTCTTAATTCTGAATATTTTATTATTTTTTGTCTATATCAGATAACACAGTGCAGGAGAAAATATGTGTACTAACATCTTGAAATGATTTTATTCTGAATGAGAGACTCGTGCGAAAAACATTTTCTTTGTGTGTTTGTTATCATATAAACGTTCTTTTACACATATGAGATATTCATCATTATTATTATATTGCAATAACATATTTCCTCAAACAAATGCTATACGTAAATAAGAAAGATTCTTGGAGATCTTATTTAAGGTCAAACTTCATTTTATATTGCTTTTATAAACAGTTGCAACAGGGTATGGCACATTTGATATGCTTATCTTATATATCATTTTACTTTTATTTCAAATGGTTGAATTATGCATAACATTCCTCACAGTAACCGAGCCATCACAAGAGAAATGTATAAAATTCTGGGGGCAGGATGATAAACTCTAATGAATGTAATATGTGATGTCTTGTTAGGTTGTTCACGGCGCTGATATTTATGTATGTCTAAGTGGATAAGTCAAGGTAAATACCGGAAAGATTATCAGATTGTTTGATAACCTAGGTGAATAAATGTATGTAAAGATGATAATACCAGGTGACCAGTGGTTAGTCTAGAAATTATTATCAGAAATGACCGTGTGAAATGGTTTAGTATGCGAAGTATGTTACCTTTTCCTAGTTCATGAACTCACCAAGGTGAAACAAAGCTTATCTATTATAAATGTTTGTAAGCTATTTTATTATAACTTTACCAGAGAATGATTATATGTTAAGACATATCGTAAACAGTAAATTAATATTTAAACAGAAATGTATTGTATGACAAGTGATTTTACCCCGAGAAACAAAACAATGGATCAGACTTAAAAAAACATAATCATCATTGTATGATCATGTTGTTAATATAGAAAAAAGGTTTACACCAAGACAAATAGTCTTAAGATGAGCAGATAAAGTATAATGACCTCTGACATTCATTTATTTCATTTCCATAGTTTCTTTTGCCCTTGTGGCCATAATAATACATCATGGCTATGGTATTATGATGCAATTAACAGAATTTTTGCACTTGAATTCCCTTTAACACTACCAGTATTTTGTAAGTTACTCTGTTCCAATCAATATGAAGTTGAGTGCCTATTTGTGAAAAAAAAGATAACGTTTTGATAACTGCTCGCAAAGGCACTTATTTTCAGTAACGTTAAAAGATGTTGCTAATGTTGGAAATCGTTAATACATTACTGCATTTTTATATATAACTTTTAAGGATAACCCAAGATAAGTATAATATAATGTTATTTGTTATCATTAACAAACAGGTGCTCTTATGACATTTTCTGATCATGTTCCATTTCATAACCTAAAAAAAGCGAGATCATGTTAAACAGATATCACCGTGCTTATGTGTTTGACATGGAACTGTAAATAAGCGAGATTACCATTGGGAGTTGGAAGATACCAATGAATTTCCAAAAGTAATGCATAATTTTATCTATTAGAATTCTGAAAAGGGGAGATCCGTTACAGAAATTAAGAAAATAACGGTGAAAATGCACAGCCGAATTGGTTAAATCTGTACAAAAGAGATGATGGAAGCAGCAATGTCTCTCGTACATGTCCCTTAGCAGTGCAGTATTGAACAGTAAGTATTATGAAGTTACAGAAAGATACAACAACGCCGATATGAAGTATGGAACACGAACCTGCAGAAAACATTAATCATCTTCTTTTGCGAGCATTTAAATGCAGACCCATTGAAGAGCTAAGGAAACAAAATTTAAGATGAAAAATGCAAACTCGTTTAAAGATAAAAGTCAAGTTTAAGTTTCCAAGTCGTCAAATTCAGAGTGAAATGCAAGGTTGATAGATAAAAGTCTCACGGCAACTATCAAAAAGGCGTATGTAATAAAATACTGTTCCAAGTTCGATGCGTTTAATAAGAAATTTTACAATTCCTTGTATTTAACGATTGTTAGAACTTCATACGTCTTGGTCATGTTTGCTTATTCCCAATTTATGGCGTAATTACAACCCAACAAAATAAGTATACTGCACAATCATTTCGAATGTTATTTATACTGATTTCATTTAAATGTTTCAACCACTTATAATAACAAGTGTTTTTTTATTAAAGCATATTATATATTAAAATGTAACTGATTTAATCATTGAGATAATACATTTTTTCAAGAAATCAACAACAATGTTACACCTTACATTAAGCATCATCTATAAGATGCACCTGGAGTTTTAAGGTTTATGTCTTCTTTAGAAAAAGGCAAAACCTAGTTGTATATGTTTTAGATAAAGGATTAGGAGCATGTTTGACGAGTATCAATACTAAATTCCAAAAATGCAAATGGAACTAAATATGGTTTAAATATATAGCCAATGAGCGACTGTTCAAAAACTAAAACAGAACACTAAAAACAAGTTTTTAAGAAATAAAACTAAAAACATTTTAGGCGTGCGATTTAAAGACCTTTAAGTGGCATGTAGTAGCTACTTACTTATTTGTACCCTTTATCACAAACTTATATTGAATAATCAAAGGTTGACACATATTTATTCATCAATTTGTATCAAGCTACTTAAAGCGATTTAATTATCCAACTTACATCAAAATTTAATATAAGACCTTGAGATGAATGAGTTTTATTTAGATTCTTTTCTGAACGTTCCTGCTTAACACAAATGCATAGCAAAAGTGTAAATAACTTATATTCCTTTCTTATAATAAAACCGACTCAATCCATCATTTTCACCTGCTGTTTTATGACAGGAAAAAAGCACATAAAAAGTCCGATTCGGATAAAATTATGGATAAAGAAAACTTTATAGACACATTATTTAGTACTGACCGATTCGCCAGGAAATATAAGGCAGTCGGACTTTTAATATAGATATATAAAGATATAGATATATAAATTGAACATTTATTAACCTAATCAATAACCCGGTGAATATTTGAA